TAAGACGTGCAGGCTTAAGGCCTGCAAGTAACTACGTAGGCTAGAATTTAATCTAGGTACAAATTGAGTAGGTACAATGTAGGGGGTTATCTAAATGAAGGTGAGGCTCGTAGCCTAGAGTTTTTTAGTGAGTAACTCTCTCAGATCTTTCACTTTAAATGAGTCTTCCTCTCAAGTTTTAACGAGTAACTCTCTCAGTCGAATAGGTAGTTTAATGAGTAACTCTCTCATGTGGGTGGACCATAAATATGGTTGTGAGGGGAGAAGGATTCGAACCTTCGATCTTTGCTAACGTGAGACAGCAGAAAATTTTCCAGGCGCTCCACCACTGCGCCATCCCCCCACTAGAAGCTATATATTAACGTTGCTAACTCTGCTTTTATTATTAACGTTAATTTTCTGCACGTAGCTTCTTATTCTTCTCTATAAGTATTATTGCTAATTGCATTACAAGCTAAGCGCTTTTCGTGAGCTGGCGTATTGCAATGCTTATTAGGCTCTCTAGCTGCTAGCGCAGTCGCTCTTAGAGATAGCGTAGCTGCTGCTAAACCTCTGCTACTGTATGTGGTGTCTCTGTCTGCGCTACCGTCTGCGCTGTAACGTTGTTATCTATAGTAGTCTGTGGTGGAGACGGCGTCTGGACGACAGTTAGCGACGATAGGACGCGATCTAGATAAGGAGGGACAAGGCCTGTCGCCTGAAAGCCTGCCTGGATATTCTGCTACGTGAATATAGTTGGTCGGATCCGTGTATAGGCTGTAAGAAAGTCTATCTTGTCAACATGGTAGACGCTATGGCGGGCGAGCTCTTCGACCTCGCGTCCGTACGCGCGCTTGAGAGGGGAGTAGCAGCTCACGTCTAGAGGCTGTAGGAGGTGCGATGTATGAGGCGGCATACAAAGAGTGATGATCTTATTCTCTGTGCAGTACTAGTCGAACTCTGGCGTAGCGTGGCTACTGTGGCCGTCTAGAATGAGAAGACGATAGACTCCAGCCGTACGAGCGGCTGTATGCTAGTTAAAGTGCTTCACCCACTCTACACCTAGCTCGTCTGTCGTCCAGCCGTTGTCTAAAACGCCAATAGTCTAGTCTGATGGGAGGTTACGATACTAAATATCCTGGTGGACCTTACTAGACAGGATCACGAAGGGTAGAAGACACTAGCCAGATGCATTAATACACTCGATAGCTGTCACCCACTTGCGATTGCCTGGCTGTACGATAACTGCGCGACCAACTCTATTAGAGCTAGTAACTACCTTAGACGTGCTAGCGACGCCTATCGCGAAGCTAGTCTCATCAAAGTTGTAGATATCTTAATCTAGGACACCGTACGCCTAGCGCGTCTCCTCTACTAGCTTAAACTAGGCTGCTATTACGACAGGATCCTTACAGGAGGCACGCTGGCTATGTAATCTCCTAGTCCACTTTATCTAAAGCTTTAGCTGGCTCTGGATAAAGCGCGACACCTATTTCTTGCCTATAGATTGTGGAGGTGGATCTTGGCCACGCGCTGCGAGTAACGCGTCTGCCATCCGTCGCACGTCGATGATATGAGGCGGAAAGCCTCGTTAATCTAGCTCTAGAATCCACTGAACAAGAGACTGCTCCTCAATAGGTGATAGCTTACGCCTAGTAGACGGAACCTCTGATCGTGGCTAAATACCGCGGAGGCGTGTCTAGAGCGTCGATTTTAGCACGTCGTACGCTTTCGCGAGAGAGTAGATAGATTGTTTTAGATTATTACAATAGGACGCTATAGCAAGACTTATTCTACCTTTATAAGAAGTCTGTATAGAGCGTTATTGTCGCGGCATAGTAGTGGTTGTGGAGAGTGTCGCGTCGAGTTTAGTGGGGCGGCTAGCTTATTGTTCCGGCTAGCTTACTGGTCCCGCACGTTATATATGTCAACAACAACAACAACAACAAATGCCAAGTCATGAATTCTGTCTGCACAAATCTCCCTAGCAACCATAACACGTCATCTCCGTCTAAACTTTGATTTCCCCAGCACGGGCCTCTTAACCTCAGCATCAGCATCCTCATCCTCTTGTTTCTTGTTCTTCTTCTGCTTCAGACCCGCCAATTTCCTCGCCACAGGACCATTTTCCTCGTCTGCGATTCTCCGCTCCTCCCGCGCCTTATCCAGGGCCATTTGTTGCTCCAGTTCAGCTTTCTTGTTGAATTCGGTTTCCAGGATGCGCTTGTCGCGCGCCGAGTAGCCCTTTTCCTTGATGGAATAAAATACAGCGCCCATATCCGCGAGCCAGTGCGGATCCACAGATGTGACGCACGACATGTATTCCTTGGACGTGAGTATGAGTTCGTGGTAGACGACGTAGTCCGGGAGGTAGCCGAGGCCATAGAGTGCAGAGGTGGGATGCAGCTGGATGGTGACCGAAGTACGCAGATTGATGTATTCGCCGATGCCTTTTACCTTTGCGGCTTGGTGGTAGTAGCCGGAGCAGATGCACTTGCGGATGACGTCCCAATCTGTGCCGCAGGATACGAGGGCCATTTTCTGCTTGCTCATGATGTCGAGGATTTGGTCGCGGATTTCCTTGGCGCGACGCAGCGCTTTCGGGTGCAGGAAGTGGCGGATGCACCAGCCGTCCGAGTAGCCGTTGACTTTCCATTGCGTGTATACGTGCAGGAGCGTGAGGTGGTCGGATTCAGGGACGAAGAACTTTTCTCGCGCTGCATCGGATTCTTCTTGGCGCTCTTTCGGGCGGTAGAAGACGGAGGGGACGGAGAGCATGGCGACTATGGTGAGCATTTCCTCGCTGCATTCGTATTTGGTGGCCGTGATGATGAGTTTGGCGAGAGAGGGGTCCATGGGGAAGGCAGTCATGGTGCGCCCGAGGTCGGTTAGGTTACCAATGTTATCGAGGGCGCCGAGGGCCCAGAGGTCGAAGAGCGAGGTGGTGATTGTATCTTGAGGTGGTGGATCCATGAAATCAAAGTCTAGCAAGTCTCGCACACCGAGCGACTTGAGAAGCAGGACAGTGTTGGCGAGATTGGTACGCTGGATTTCTGGTATTGTCTGGATGTAGAACTCGTCCCTGAAGGCTCTTTCAGTGTACAGATGAAAGCATTTTCCAGGTCCTGTGCGTCCAGCGCGACCTGCACGCTGCGAGGCATTGGCTTGGGAGATTGGTGTAATCTGAAGCGTGTCCATGCCCATCTTTGGATTGTAGACTTTGAGCTTGGAGAATCCCGCATCCACAACGTACATGATGCCGTCGACCGTCAAACTCGTCTCTGCAATGTTGGTCGCTACAATAACCTTTCGCACGCCTGGAGCTGCTCGCTCAAAGATTTTTGCTTGCAGGTCGGCAGGCATCTGGCTGTAGATGGGAAGGATGCTGAGTTTTGGCGGATCATTCAGAAGCTTGAGTCTTTCTGCGACAAGCTCGCAAGTAATCTCAATATCTTCTTGGCCAGTCATGAAAACTAGGATATCGCCAGGCCCTTGCGAGACGTGGATAGCCAAGACTTGCTTGACAGCGCTGTCTACGTAATCCTCGCACGGCGATCGCGAGAACTGAATGTCGACGGGAAACGTTCGCCCTGGGATGGTGAATTCTGGAGCACCTCCGTAGAAGCGTGAAAATCGGTCGGCGTTCATAGTGGCCGAGGTGACAATCAGCTTGAGGTCTCGTCTTCGCGCCAAGACCTTCTTGAGAAGGCCCATCAAGACGTCGGTGTTGAGGGCTCTCTCGTGCGCCTCGTCCATGATGATGCACGAGTACTTGTCTAGGTCAGGCTCGACCAGCGATTCTCGGAGCAACACACCATCCGTCATGTACTTTATCCTGGTTTCCTTGCTGGTGCAGTCTTCGAAGCGAATCGCATATCCGACTAGGCCGCCGAGCTTGACCTCCATTTCTTCGCTCACACGTTTCGCTACGCTCATGGCCGCGACTCGACGTGGCTGCGTACAGCCAATGAGCCCGTCCTTGGCGTAGCCGTCTTCGTAAAGGAACTGGGTCAGCTGCGTGGTCTTTCCAGAACCAGTTTGACCAACAACGATGATGACTTGGTTGTCTCGAATTACACGAAGCAGATCCTCGCGAACTGCAAAGGCCGGGAGGTACTGTCTCTGTTCTCTGAGGGACTTGCTCTTACTGAAGGCACTGGCGCCTTCTTGCTTGCTGAGATGCTGCGCAAACTTGCTGCCGCCCTGCTTCTCCTCCTCCTCAGGCCCGGGTGCAGCACTATCGGTGTCCTCTTCCTTGATGCCCATGATATTTCCGAGTGTGGTTCCTTTCGCGCTGGTGGCTTCTTGTGTCTGCTTTTGTCGTTCTTTTTGCTGCCGTTTCTCCTTGACCACGCGACTGCCGCGCCGGCTGAATACCGCCATATCGCTCTGAGGGTCTCGTACTGCCGGAATGGGGTCGATTTGCTTGGTGAAGACCGTCTTGCCATCTAGGAAAGGGGGTTTGAGGTCGTGTACGAGGATATGTACGCGCATGCTCTCCTCATCGTCGTCAAAGTCATCATCGAAATGTCTTCTTTGAGCGACTCCCGACTGCAGCATTCGGTTCGTTTCCCACGCATCGACATCCTTCTGCTTTTGCTGTGCCCTCATGCTTGCCCGGTTGTTCAGCTTCTTTTCGGTCAAAGCAGCCTCCCGCTGTGCATCTAGCCATGTACTCTCGGCGCCACCAAAGGGGTTGTGCGTGTCGTCACCAAACGTGTGTCCATTCTCTTCACCGCCGTACCAGTCGCGATCGAGGGCCATTGAGTCGAAATCGTCCACCAGAGGCTCAGGGCCATCAAAAGACTCTTGGGATGGCCCCGCGCCATTTTCGTGGGCTTTGGACGTATGCGCGCCAGAAGACGCGGGCTTGTTTGGCTTGCGAAACTTTGGGCGAGGCGCGATCGAGTATTCTTCGGGGTCAAGCTTGCGCCGTTTTGGGCTATGTCCGCGCTCCATGGTGACGGTCAAGGGTGTGTTAAGGGACTTCCAGAATATATGTTCGAGGGCGCGGATTTGCGCGTCGTGTTGTTGGCGTCCAGAAGGCGGGAAAGTTGATGCTCGGAGGTCCGCAATTATCGATAGGAAACTAGCTTCAGCCAATCGTTGCGGGGCGCCCAAAATTATTTCCAACTTCTGAAAAGATCCCCACGCAACTTGCGCTCACTCACTGCGCATTCCTCCCGCTGTATCGCAACAATGTCTATGATCACAGCGACAACATGGGTGCCGCGCGGATTCGCAGCACCCTTTCCTACAAGATACCAATTCGACGAAGACGAATACGAGCGCATTTCAAAGCTTGCGAACCTGCAGCTCGAGGACGCCAAGGAAGAGCTCGAAGAGGCGCAAGCTGAAGAAAAGGCCAAGAGCAATGGAACTTCGAGTAAGGCTGCGAAGCAGGAGGACGAGTGAGTACACCCCCCGGTATGTACCACAAAAAACTAATTGGGTCAAGGGACGACGACGACGATCTCAAAGAATACGATCTCGAGCATTACGACGATGAAGTCGCGCAGGACCAGGGCGATACCATGGCCATGTTTGGCAACGCAAAGAATCTAGTCTACCACCAGAACGATGAGGATGACCCATACATCACCATGAAGGGCGGAGACGAAGAAGACGAAGAGGACCGAGAAGAGCTACAAATTCTAGCAACCGACAATCTTGTATTGGCTGGAAGGATAGAAGACGAGGTGGCGCATCTGGAAGTCTATGTCTACGAGGACGAGGACGACAACCTCTACGTGCACCACGACATCATGCTGCCCGCCATCCCGCTTGCCGTCGAATGGCTCGACCTGCCCGTGGGCAAATCTTCGGAAGCAAGCGAAGGCAAGGGTAACTATGTGGCTATTGGGACCATGGACCCAGACATCGAGGTCTGGAACTTGGACGTGGTAGACGGCATGTACCCTGATGCCGTACTAGGACAAGGTACCGAAGATGCCAAGGGAGACAAGCCCAAGAAAAAGAAGAAGAAGAGCAAGAAGGCCAACGACGAGTTTCACGTCGACTCAGTGCTCTCCCTTGCAGCCAACCGTCACCACCGCAACCTCCTGGCCTCAGCGTCGGCGGACAAGACCATCAAGCTATGGGATTTGAACACGACAAAATGCGCAAAGTCATACACGTACCACACAGACAAGGTGTGCTCCGTGGCATGGCACCCGGTCGAGTCGACTGCACTGTTGAGCGGTAGTTATGACCGTACTGTTGTGGCGGCCGACATGCGTGCGCCCGACGCAAAGGCGCCACGATGGGGTGTTGAGAGCGACGTGGAAAGCGTGCGGTGGAATCCTCACGACCCTAACTACTTTTATGTACGTGTCCCGCTGCCAAGATATTTATATAGTATGTACTGACTAGGATAGGTGTCCACGGAGAAGGGCATGGTGCACTACCACGACGCTCGCAATGCACCCAAAGACCCTTCTGCGTCAAAACCTGTGTGGGTCCTACAGGCCCATGACGAGTCCATCTCGTCATTCGACATCAATCCGGTGATCCCTGGTTACCTGGCAACGGGTTCTACGGACAAGCAGGTCAAGCTGTGGAACGTCCAAGAAAGCGGGCCCAGCATGGTGGTGTCGCGAGACTTGGGCGTTGGCAAAGTATTCTCGACATCATTTGCCCCTGACAGTGAGGTGGGCTTTCGGTTAGCCGTTGCCGGCAGCAAGGGCGCGGTGCAAATCTGGGATACGAGCACCAACGCGGCGGTGCGTGCAGCGTTTGCAAGCAAGGTGCCGGCAGTCAGAGGAGATGGAAAGGAGCGCCTCGTGGGTCTGGAGGAGCAAGACACGGACTCGGACTCGGAGGAAGGGGAGAGTGACGACGAAGGCGGAGAAGATGGGGAAGACAAGGGATGGGAGTCGATGGAGGAATAGGCGAAAGATACCCTGAGGTTGTGCGAGAGGACCAAGCAGGCATGGTGTCGATTTGCCGGTCCAAGCTTGGCCGAGTAACTTTGCAGCTGGCGTGATTGTGTAGGCAGTGCGTGAAGTTTGTTCGCAGTGCAGTAGCAGAGCGTGTATGGTGTTTAGTCATTCATGTTTCCGCGGATCAGAATGGCGAGCCATGGGCCCCGCAGGGCGTTTCATCAAGTGTCCGATTGATCCGCCTTGGGGATTCTGGCTCCTTTCATCTCACCAAGCCCCGCTCAGCCTCGCATAGCCTTGATAACAGACGCACACGTCAACGTCACCACGCCGTAGGGCAAAGTTTATGGAAATCTGATGGGTTGTGTTGTTGCTTCGCGTGCGCCCCAGGCGGGCCAGCAGCGAGTCATAGGCAAACATGGTGTGAACGCTGACGAGGGGCCTAGCAGTAAAGGGCCGCCACAAGCGGCCGATCAACGGCAGTAGGTCATATAAAAAAAAATTCCTCTTGTAGGTCTGGGCCAGCGGACACAGGCCGCCCTCGTAGTGGGACCCGCCGACGATGCCTGCGAGGTCCAAGTCTCGATCCGGCGACATGGTCGTTGCTGGGTATGCGCTCGTTACTCCAGTCGGGCCTCCCTTGGGGGGTTTGAAACCCCGATGCCGCGTAAGGCAGATAGTGGCAGCATGCACGACGTGGCTCCAAATAGGCAGGCTGCGGGGATTGGATTGGGCCGGCAACAGCTCGATTGGGGCACGCCCAGGACGGGGGCCGGGCCAGGAACAGGCAGGCACGGGCGAATGGGGAGGCACAGCGCCTGCCGCCCTGAGTCGGCTGTGTTATGCTGCGCCCGCACGCGGCCTAGCGCGACCGGGTGTTTCCTCGCACAGGCCAATGAGCGGGCACGGCATCCCGTGCCCTGCTCGCTTATGCGTCTCAGGATTGCGCCGGCCTAATTGGTCTGTTTGCTTGTTCCACGCGCGCGCGCCCGTGTGGTTGGCGGCATTTTGTCTTGGCTGTTTCAATCTGGGCCAGGGCCAATAAGCTCATCCCTCCACTCTCGGCCTCTTCACGCCCTCGACGCCTGTCCTAGATGAAGCCGCGTGTGGCATTGACAGCTGAAATGACCCCTTTGACAGCCTGCCTACCTTGCTTTTGGCAAGCCTGCATTACTATAGTCTCTACTCTATCCATCAAGGACCCCCCCTCCCTCCCCCGCCCACAAGTCATCACAGCGCCACCACACTCTATACTCGGCTCCGTCGTGTGCCTCCCCCTCCCGCCGTGCAGATTCTATATATTGCCTGTCCGCGCTGGTGGGCCACCCCCCTTGGTCGCGCCTACCCAATCTCTTGGAGACAGCACGGCGCTCGATGCGCTTGGCCTGGCCGCTTCCGGGGCCTGCTGGTTTTTCAACGCCCCCCCCAGAAGAGGCGCTGTGTTATCACGCGGCCTTCTTCTATACCACCTCGCCCGCCCCTCGCTCCCTTTCTTTGGCCTTTGTCTTCGTTGCCTCCACAGCAGCAGCCTTACCCTCCTTTTGCGGCCCGGTGTTCGCTCCTTCACGACCCAACTACTCCTCTTCACACTCGCACACGTTCTTTGACAGACGGTCCTTGTTCATCTTCTTGCTCCCCATTCGCCACCCCCCCTTCCATTCTTCGCCGCTCGCTGCCAGCTCAGTATCGCGACAAAAAAAACAAAAAACAAAAAAAGACTGGAAAATAAAATAAGAACACGTCCCCAAGACATCGACCGGCGCCATCACGTTACTTGGACTACCCTGGGACACCGTGCAGCCGACCGTCGAACACCGAACTCGTGACATCACCACAGCCAGTGCGAGTCCGAATTCACCGCAACTCTGCACCACCTGAGTCCTGAGTGCTGCCTCGTCGGCACCGTCAAGCACACTACGCAAATCGTTGCCCGCATTGTTTCTAGAAAACTGCGACAAGTGCATTAGCGGAAGTCTTAGCCGTCAAGTGTTTCGACCTCGTGCCAGCAACAAGCGCAATCTATCTCCGGCTGCTACCCCGCTTATCTGCGCCTCACTCAAATAGCGACCAACGACAGCTTCTGCCAATATTAACGGCCCTCGGAGGGATCGCTAGACGCCATCTTGCAATATCGCACTTGCTTCTCGAATTAATTTCAGCAATATGTCTCTTGCGCGCGCAGTGACAAGGCGCATGAAGCGGACAGATGAGCCGAAAGAGTCGACTTCGCCCACTCGCAGCCAGAGTGTCAAAATCATGGGCACCATCGACCGCAACAAGATTTCTCTTCCCATTGCCCTCATCTCGACGACGAACCAGCTTTCGTACGACGCGCCCGACATTGCGACGCTGAAAACGGTGTCCTCGATGGCTGCCCTCAGCCCCTCTTCGGCAGACGACTCGGACCACAGCGTGTCCACACGCTCCCGCGCTTCCTCGCACGGATCCAGGGACACGACGCTGACGGATGCTTCGTCTGTGGACCTTTCGCCCATTTCGCCAGCGGCCAGCCAGTTCGCAGGCCAGCTGCCCACGGGCGGCAAGCTCAAAAAGTCGGCCTCGACCACTAGCCTCAAGAGGGTCAAGGAAGAGATTGTCGAGCCTATTCCGAGCATCCCAGCGAGGGCACTTTCGCACAGCAAGCGCGCACATGAGCGATTGGCGCACCAGCGATCTCTCAACAACGTGGGTTCTCGCGGCAGCATGGGCTCGCGGGGCAGCATCAGCTCCCTGCGCAGCTCGCGACAAGAGCAGCGCGCATCACTCGACATGTTCAAGGGCACGATTCTCGAAGAGGGCCACCCGTTTGGCCGCGAGCTCGAGCAGCTCAACGAAGTTGTTGAGGAGTTTGGCGGCGTAGTGCGTGACGCCGAGGCCCAGGCCGACTACTCCATCATGCAGACTAAGAACCTGGCCGCCTATTGCGCAGCTGACTACCTTGCGGAGATCAGGCCACTCTTCAGCCAGCGATTTGGCATGCCTCACCCGGCGCCCTCGATGGCTTGGATTTGAGACGGTCATGAAGTCGACTTTCCTTGGCCCCCCCCCCCGTGCGTCCTAGACGGTCTCTATTGCTTGCTGCTCGATACCTTAGACGATGTCTTAACGTTTTCATACTTCGTGTGTACATATTAGCGGACTCTGGCCTCGAGCCGTGCCGCCTCCTCATTTGTCTAATCTTAGTTTCTTGTGTTTTATACATATTTTTGGTTTGGTTGGTTGGTTTACTGGCCTGGGGCGATGGCGGCGCGCTCTGACAAGGGCGCTTCCGGAATCTCAGCGTCAGGACTTTTTTTTGGGCACAAGAATCCCACACACTCGTTAACGATTTCTCATGCTTATCTCTCTCTTTTTCTGTTGTTGTACGAGGCTATCAGGAAAGGCGTTTTTTTTTTCGCCTCGACATCCAGTCGTTTTGGTTGGAGTCGTTGTTGGGGAGTAGTGGGTTACACTGCATCCATTGTCTCAGACGTACATATTCCAGAATGAAAAGAAACCACATTTTTTTTGTACCACGACTGCTCGTCATCCGACTTGGCTGGTGTCTTGTGCATGACCTCGAGACTGTGCACAAAAACGAGGGCAAGGGTTGTCCCCCATAAGCGCGCACCCCCCTCACATGACGTGATTGTGTGTGTGTGTCTGTGTGCGCTGTGCGTGTGTGGTGAACGGTCCGGGCGTGCCGCACAGGTCTTCGGCACTTACAGTAGACATTGCCTGCCCAACGCCCACCCATTCACTTCGTGTCTTGCCTACTACGTATACGCGTCTTGTCTCACCCGCCTCCACGCTCGTTCAAGAGGGGCAGGGCTCGCGAGCACACGCTTTTCAAACTAGGAAGGTTCCATCTTTCTCGTATCTGACACCTGGGCGTGGAAGCTCGCATGTGCCATGGTGAAATGTGAAGTGTGAAGTGTGAAATGTGAGATGTGAAATGTGCAAGGCTGCATTACCCCCCAGAAAGAACCATGGAGGGGCATGTCTTGGCGCGAGAGGCCCCCCCCCCCATGTGGCAGGTGAGGCAAGTGCAAGCCGCCCGGCATCGGCAAAACACGTCGGCAGCCTTTTCCCTTCTCGTCTCAAACTTTTGATGCACATGGACGTGCCTTGTCCCGCGTGCAACAGGGCCAGCCAGCTACCCAAACAGTGCCCAAACAGTGCCAACACCACGCCCGCCTGCACACAATGATATGCCGCTCGTGTCTCCGGGCAGCGTCCCGCTCCGCCCGCCAAATCGCTGCGCCGCCCGCCTCTCTGCGCCCCCAGCCCACCACCCGCTTCTTCGCAACCAGCTCGTCGGCGCACTCGCCGCCAGCCGCGACATCGACATCTGCCGCGCAGCCCTTTAGCGAGCCATTGACGCCAGCTGCGAGTCCCGATGCGAAAGCCACGGCCGCCGACGCAGCAAAGAAGAAGGCTGTGCCCTTGGTCAAGAGCAGCGTGCCCGCGGGCCAGCCACTCAAAGGTCTCAATTTCTTAAAGGACAGGCAAGACCCCATTGCCGCGCCCGACGAAGAATACCCCGCGTGGCTGTGGACGCTGCTGGATCGCCAGGAGAAGAAGGCAGATAAAGCGGCGGGGGATTTGTTTTGTAAGTCTAGATATCCCCATTCTTTTTATGCTTGAATGCCGTCTTCAACGACGCTGCTGCTGCTGGAGAGAAATATAAAACCATGCTAACCACATGATAAACAGCAAAATCAAAGAAACAGCGCCGTCTAGCTGCAAAGCGCCTCCGCAAAGAACAAGCCATGAACCCTGATATGATGGCGCCAAAGATAGCCATATACGAACAAACAATTGATTTGCCGGCTGGAGACGGCTCGCTGGCGGGTGCTGTGCGCGCGGCAGATGCGCGAGATGAACTTACAAAGGCTATGCGGAATAAGCGGAGAGCTTCAATTAAGGAGGCTAACTTCCTGAAGGCTATGGGGTAGATGACTGTTTGAGGTGGGTGAGTGGGTCTCTGGAGACGCTGTGTGAGAGACTTGGAGAGAGAGAGATGGGGGAAAGGGGGGGGCGGAGAAGAGAACACCCGAATGAAGAGATTCAACAGCTATCTCTCTCTCTCTCTCTCCTTGCAAATATGGGAAACGGAATGGAATGGAAATTCCCTCATGCCTTGCTGGTGCTGAGGTGTGTATAGAATCTGTATATGATATGATATAAATAAACAGTTTTATTTTCAAGTCACGATGATTCACTTAATCCGGATATACTATACTCTTCAAACAAACAAACAAACTAGAGTAAGAAAATCAATAAAGGCAGGTAGGCCAACCACACGTCCATCTATATATGTATGCGCTTCTTCTCCTTTTTGTCATCCAACCAACTACCAAGGTCAAATCCAAGATTACAATCCAAAAGTAGAAATGCAAATTCGATACAGTCGTATTAAATACCTAACTATCTAACTAATTCACTATCTACTCCTTTCTCTCTCTCTCTCTCTTTCTCTCTCCTTGCTCTCTCTCTCTCTCTCATATCTACCAATCAAGTTTGCTCAAACAACAACAACAGACATACTTATCTCACTACATAACACATCTAACGCTCTCTTCAGTCTTTTTTTTCCAACAACAACAACAATAATAATAATGACAGTAACAATAATGACAGTAACAATAATGACAGTAACAATAATGACAGTAACAATAATGACAGTAACAATAACATCAGTAACAATAACATCAGTAACGCCGACTCCCCAAGCAGAAATCCAAGAAGAAGAAGAAGAAGAAGAAGAAGAAGAAGAAGAAGGAGGGAAAAGAGAGAAAATGGCCCAAGTATACCAAACGAAAACGTTTACAGCAAAGACAGCAAGGACGAAGAGAGATAGGAATGAGAGAGGAATGAGAAAATGAGAAAATAATGCACGCTAAGTAAGAGAGAAGAAAAAAAAAGAAAGAAAAAGAGATCAATACAAGTACCCCAGAAAGGAAAGAAAGAATGAGAAATAAAAAAAAAACTCCCGATAAAAGTGCGCGTGTGATGATTTCTTTCCTTTCTTTCCTTTCCATCATCCATCATCCATCTTGCATCTTTCTTCATTCCCACCACCTCGCAACCATTCTCACGTTCCATGCATGCATGCATGCATGCATCTGCACCTCGCATCCATGCATCTTGAACCCATGCTCTTAAGACAGACAGACAGGGGAGGAGGAGGAGGGGGGATGATAAACTCAAACCCCCCAACCCCCCAGTCCCAACCCAATCCCCAACCACACACCACACGCCGCACGAAGATGACTTAGTTCAGCCAGTTCACTTCAGTCCAGTCCAGTTCAGTTCAGTTACACGCCGCACGTATATATTCAAAACGGAAAAGAAAAAAACGAAAAAGAAAGCTGCCTCGAAGCCTCGATGCCTCGATGAAAAAAAGGGGGGGGTCGAGAAAGAATGGGAGACGAGAGACAGACCGAGAAAAAGAAAGAAGGTGATGATCAAGTGATGAGTGATAAAAGAGGGGGGGGTTGCATACAAAACACACGACTCTGCACCAGCAACAAGGGTGAGAAACATCTTTTCTGTTGCGCGTATGTGCAGTGTGTTTTGTGAGTGAGTGAGTTTGTGTGTGTGTGAGTGTAGTGTTTTTCTTTTTTGGGGCCCCCCCGACCTCGGCATGCTTAGCCGGAGTGGGAAACTCACCATGTGTCGCAGAATATGCATGGGGCATGGACATGGACATGGATAAAAGCACATGGGAGACAAACGGTCGGGAACGTATTTTTCTTTCGTTCTTTCTTCTTCTTCTTGTCCTTCACATGAAGCTCATCTTGACTTCTTTCTCCTGGCCAAAGTCGTCTTCGAATTCGTCGGCCCACGCATTGTGCCCCAGGTCGGCGGGTGCGAGGCTGACGGATGCATGGTTGTCTGTTTTGGCGGGGCGAAGCGGCGGTCTAGTGGTGGTGGTGCTGCGGACTTCGTCTTCCCAGGGAGAGGATGTGTTAGAGTGTGCGGGCGGCGCGGGGAGCGGTGAAAGGGGGAGAGAGGAAGTCTTTGTGGCGGAGGGGCGTGGAGGTGAGGAGGACGAGGGCGCCGGGTCGCGGAATGACGTATCGAAAGTCATTTCCATGTTGTCGGCGCCGCCGTACTCATAGTCGAACTCGTCGTATTCTTCGTAGCGACCGTTTGTACCGTTTGTGCTTGGCGCTGTCTTGTAGCTTGATGAGCCTAGGCTGTCGTTGTAGCTCTTCGTTTCCCTAAGCATAGAGTACCGGTTGTTGGCTGCTTGTGATGGCGGGACCGTGGCCATGTCAATCTTCATCGGTGGAAGCGTCGACTTGATTTCTTTGATTTCAAACTCGGCTTCGGCATTGTATTCTTTGCTTTCGGCGGCCAATGATGCCACCTCCTTGCGGATTGCGTCAATGTCAAACATGATTTGGTTTTCAGCCAGCTTGGCTGGGTCCTGGTCTTGGTCGAGTTTCTTGTGGTTTGCGGGCACGGCCGTCGAGTGTTCATCGTACACTTCCCAGTCGTTCTTGGCGGCTTTCTTCTTCTTCCACCAGCTGAGCTTGCTGCCCCTTCGCTCTTTTTCTTGCGCCTTCTTTTCGAGCTCTTTTCGCGCTTCTTCAATTTCATTGATGAGTTCACGCTGCCGGATTTCGTGATTGTCCGGGTCTGGGTCTTCAATTTCAACAAACTCGTCCGATTCAACAATCCAGCCGACTTCGCGGAGTAGCTTGGGCATGGCCGCACGATAGGCCATGTGGCCAGGTACGAGCTCAGTCACATTCACGTTTTCAATAGTGGGAATTTGTACGGGGGCAAGGCCTGCGACGCGCATGATACCACCACTGGTTGCGCGGAAGAGGTAACCTAGACATGTCAATACGTATCAGACAATATTAAAAGCACAACATACCCAAGATCCAGTCATTGGTAGCATACCCATTGACAAATCTCCCAGGCACAACAGACCTGGCCTTTACGTACTCATCAAACTTGACCACTGCTGGTGTGCCAAACATGTACACGTTCTGCACAATGCCAAACGCACCTCGCTCGGCAAGCTCCTTTAGACATGACAAGATGACTCTTGAGCCAAGCGAGAAACCGACGAGCGTGACTGGTCTTGTTCCCAGGTTGCGATCAATGAGTGAGTCTGCCAGAATCAGTCCAGCCATATCTGCTCGCGCTTGCGAGACGATCCACGGGTTGTCGATGAGGTAAGACAGCTTTGTCAGAGCGAGAGGCAGCGTCATGGCAGCCATGAGAGCCGTGAGAATGGTGCTGCCCAAAACTTGTTGCAACCCTTGTGTAAGAGCCTAGACATGGTTAATGTGCATGCTTTGAATCTGCCAGTCACACTCACTTCAGTAGCAAGGATATTGATCGTGTCACCCATGCTTCTCAACATCTCAGGCTCCCAGAGGACGGAATAAATGTCACCCATGATAGGGTCCACAGTGCTGTATGGCAAGCGGACATCGTCGACTTTGCCATTCATCCAGCCTGCCAATGTAATGATGAGATGAGTGCGCTTGTTGTTGTGAAGAGGACGATACTCAAACGTCTTCACTGAGCCTGTACGCCTATTCATCGCCCTGACACCAACGGTGCTACCGGTGACAACGCCAGTGGACGTGATGATGGCAGCGCCTCCAGCACCCGCCAGAAAACTACTGGTGCCCGCGACTCCAATGGTAGTAAAACCCGCAGCAAGTCCAGCACCGATAACAGGAGCAAGGAGACCAGCCGACAAGCCAATAACAAGACCACCGCCAACCGTTGCGAGACCCATAAACGCCAACCGCTTGTTGCGCGCCCGCTTAGCACGATTAACCATGTGTTCATCCTCATTCCAGTTCTCCTTGTCAGCCTGCTCCTGCATCTCCAGCGCATCTGTGACGCGCTTCTCAAACCGACAGCTCTCTAACCAGTCTACACTGAGATACTTGCCAACCTGCTCAAAGAGCTCTCTCGAGCGCGAATCGTAGACCGAGTCTGCTATGAGTACTAGGAACAGATCGCACAGGACAGTCCATCGCAGATCAATGTCAAGATTCTTGCTGTTTGGAAGTTGGGATGGCGACTTGACCTCTGGATAATCGTAGCCGTCGTCGTATTCTTCATAGGGCGGAGGTGATGGCGATCGCAGATAGTCTTCCGAGCCTGGTGATGAGAGGCGTTTCGATTTTGGTCTGTCCGCCGGTGTTTCAGGCCGAGGAGATGAAACGGATGGCCTCGCAGAATCAGGGTCGTTCGCAGTATCTGCATCCGCTGCGACAGGATTCTTCACTCGCGCGTTCCGCATCAATGCTGGTGTGAGGTCGGCTGGCACCACGCCGTGCTCTGATAACTGCTCGATCATGATCTGCTCCGATGTGTTGATATCCATGTGTCCGTATATCTTGATCATGATTTTTTGTGACCACATTTTGGTTGTTCCCGACTGCATCTCCATCTGTTTCTTCATCCTTTTGGTGGTGGGCTTGATCTGGGCAAACTTCCTCTCCATTTCTTTCGTAGCTAGTCGTACCAGTCCGACGTATGCGACACGCTGTCCTTCGGTAAGGAGGTTCTTGGTGGCTTGCATCTGCGAGAGCGGGTCTCGCCCTTCTTCGTCTTCGTCAGCCAAGGCGGTGCTTCTTTCCTTGAACAAGTATGCCGTGTTGTCGTCCATGCTCGTCTGTGAATCCGCGTCATCATCCATGATGACTCTGGTGTAGCCTTTGGCGGCGCCTCCGACGTTGGCGTAGCCGTGCATGTCTTCCAGTTCCTCCAAGTTCTCCTTGGCAATAAGTCTGTTGTCGTCGTCGTACATGTCGTAATGGGCATATGCAGGCATTTCCTGCCACTCGCCCTCGTCAACTTCGTTGTCCTTTTCCTTGGAATCATTCTGTGCCTGTGTGACGAGGTGCAGGTGCGAATACTCGGATATGGCCGCAGCGTTCGTTTGGAGGAGGGTTGCGCTCTTTGGCGGCTCGGATGTAGTGGGTGACTTGATGTCTGCCGGGACACTCTTCTTTGCTTCTACAAACTTGTCTTCAGGGTGATCGCTATACCGTTCCTGCTCGGCCTTCCCTGCCGGCTCCGGTGGCTGCTTGCTGGGTTGGGGCTGCGCATTACTCTCCGCGCCGGTCTTCTCTGGCCCAGCGGCTGGAGGCTTCTTGTTGCCATCTTTTTCCTTTGGTACCTCTTTCTCGTCCTCGGATGCAATGGCGCGGTACCCCCTATCGTCGTTTGAAGCCACGGCATCCTCAAACTTGTCCGTTTCCGAGTCGGAGCTCTCCTCCACCGGAGTCCGCGGTCGCCTTTTCCTTATGGGCAGGCCAAAGTCGTCATACTCGACTTCCTGGCTGGAGTTCTTGTGTGTTTCCGGTGTCTCTTTACTGTTTCCCTCACTCTTGGGGGGCTCGGCGGGGTTCTCGCTCATTCTGGTGCGGCTACCGCGAGACACGCATGGGGAGGCCGAGCGGTGTGGCGTCAATTGCGGCGGAGGGCGCGGTGGTTGTTTACGTGAATGGTCGAGGCAAGAAACCCAAAGCGTGTACAACCGGTCTTGGTGCCCTCGGGGGCGGCTTTGCCAATGCGGAGAGCGACGGGGGTGTCGTTACGGGCGATGCAGGGCGTCGTATGCGAAGCTAGCGTGGCCCGGTGCACGGCCTAGATTCCGCGCTCGGCTTTGAATTTCTTGCTGCAATCAATCCACCACGCCCAACGCCCAACGTCACCATGAAGCTGAAGCGCGCAAAGGTACGGCCAAACGGCTTCTGGCATCCAGGCGATATTAACAGCACCACAGGCATACAAAAAGCAGCTGCACCAGTACGAACTCAACTTTGGATTCCGCGAGCCCTACCAAGTCGTGCTCGACTCGCAAATCCTGCAAGATGCATACAATTCCAAGATCGACCTGGTTGCGCGCATACAGAAGATGCTCGGCGGCCAAGTAAAGCCCATGATTACGACCTGCGACATGCGACACCTCTACAATGCGAAGCCCAAGAACGAGACGCTCATATTGCAGGCGAAGGAATACGAGCGCCGCCGCTGTAACCATCAAGACCTCGACGAACCACTCAGCACCCTCGAGTGTCTGAGCTCGGTAGTAGATCCCAAAGACAATGCGACAAACAAGCACCGGTACGTCATTGCGGCCAATGACCCGGATACGCGCGCAAAGATGCGAACAATCGCCGGTGTACCCATCATATACTTGGCCAAGTCTATTGTGCTCATGGAGTCCATGGCCGACATCACAGAGCAACACCGCGAGCGAGAGGAAAAATCAAAATTCAAGCTGGGACTGAAAGGGCAGCGCAAACCAGATGCGCCATTGAAGAGGAAACGAGAAGACGAAGGCCAGGGGGGAGAGGGAAGTGGCTCTATTGCGAATCAATCTACAGGAGAGGCAAAGCCCAAGGCAAAGAAGCGAAAAGGACCAAAGGGTCCCAACCCACTGAGCGTCAAGAAGCCCAAGAAGGAGAAGGCCGCTACACAGCCGAATGCGACTAAGAAGTCACAGCCATCCACGTCAAAAGCGAACGGCGGAGGTAGCCAGGAAGGCGAGCGCGAAGACTCTGCACCTCGCAAGAGGAGGAGAAAGCACAGGCCCAAGGCTGAGGGTGGTGATGACGCACAGGGTGGCGACGGACCTGCTTCGCCGTGAAAGCTGTTGAGATGACAATCGGGCTTGGTGTTTGAGCCGACTTCGATAATCTGGGAAAGGTCAGAAAAAAAAACTGGGAAACGGACAAGGTGGAGCAAGCATACCCAGGTCGCCGTCAGTATGCACGTATGACCGACGTCAACTTGGACGGGCGCGTTCTTATAAAGAGATGCCACTGTGTGCAGCAAGACTTTTAAACCCGCTTGCCTTGGGCAAGCAGATCGGAAACTTTTGGTGGAAGGACAAGCGTACTCCGGTCGTTGCGCTTGACAAACTCGACTACGACTTCGGCAGTCTTTTCGGGGAGATCTTCGTGAAGAAAGTGACCAGCGGCGGGAAATACCTGTAGTTGGAATTTACCTATGTTCTGTCAGACGTTGCTCTGGCAGCAGGATAGCTCGCGGGAAACATACCCTGCATCTGCCCTATCATCAGCTCCTTGTCCAGTCTGTCTGTGCCCGCCAGCAGCAACAGTTTTGCGCCTTTGCCTCTGAGAAATTTGCCGCTCATGCCAGTGAACCAGTTTTCCCAGTAGGGCTCTGTGCTCGAGAGCTCTGTCCGCCAGGCCCATCGGCCGTCTGCTGTTTGCAGTAGCAAGCTCGGTACGCTAGCTCTCGCTGACTGCGGGTTGCGCAGTGTCCGCGAACGGATGTGCCATTCGATGGCAGCAGGAAGCGATGGGAAGGACTTGGGTCGGCTGGCCAGGTAAGTGTGCATGTGTCCCAGCGTCTCCATGGCCGAGCCCTCGACAACGTCCAGAACTCCATAGCCCAGCAGCTTGTTGCCGAGTAACGCCTTGTTGGCCGTCTCGGTCACGACTGCGCCACCCAAGCTGTGTCCGATCAAGACGGTTGTAGGGAGCTCCTTCCAGCCCATCTTGGCCTGCGTGAGCAAAAGCATGTCGACCAGATCCTGGCTGAGCTGGGCGATGCTGAGGTCGTTGTCGACTTCGCCGCTGGCATTCCAGACGACGCTTCCGTGGTCGCGTGCTTCGATGGCCAGTATGCCCAGTTCGGGCATGGCCTTCCTGATCTCCTTTGCGGCAAGCGCAAAAGTCATTGCGGAGCTTCCGGCGCCATGATGCAGCACGATGAGCGGCGCCTTTGGCGAGGCTGGGGGCGTCAGGTAAACATGGAACTTGGCATGGCCAGCGCCATGACGATCGTGCTCGAGGTAAAACTCCTGGGCGTAGTAGTCGGACCAGTGGATTGCGGGGGCGGGTCTCAGCGTGCCCGACGGCCTGACGGTGCCGGTGCTGGACATGGACGAGGCCGACGACGAATCATCTTCGCACTCGGGCGGCTCTTCCTGCAGTGGCTCGGGCGGTGGCAGCGAGGACAGCTTGGTTTTGGCAAACTCTCTGGCCAGGCTCGACATGGTGCCCGGAGCGAGGCTGCCAAAGCTGTGCAGAAGCCTGCTTTTGCTTTGGCGCGCGTGCAAGTCCGCGGCGGGGTGATTGGCCGGCTAGCTGGGGGTGAGGGCGCACGTTATGCAGCGTTCCGATGAGTTATCTGCTTGGATCGGTGGGATGACAATGCGTGAGGGGAGGGCGAGGAATGCAGTGGGGGCCGTCCTGTCTAATCGCCGGCAGGGATGCGAGCTGCGTGTCTGTATGGTTAAGCGAGGGGGTTGCAAAGAAGACGACGCGGTCATGAAGGCCTCGCACGCGGGCTTGAGAAGTGCAGCAGGAGCCGGCGTGGGGATGGAGATGGCAGTGGAGCACATGTTGAGGCTGAAACCGAAAGGCAGTGGTCCCGCGGACACGGTTGCCATGTCTCCCAATCGCGCGGGCGTGGCGGCGGCATCTGGATTCATGATTTGCGCCTGGGGTGTGCCCGACCCGGATGCATGCCATGATGACGTAGCGAGATCTCTCCGTCTACTCTTAGCGCATCGACCTTCAGCGTCAGTAAAACCGACCGCGCCCCCAAGAGGCTGCCACCCCGTCCTTCGACCTTCCGATCCATCTTCCTAGACGCAGGCTGGATTCTTCTTTTTCCCCTCGACCCTTGCTCCGCTTCTCCATCCAGCCGTCGCTTGCCCAGCATGTGGAAAGGCGCCAAGGACAACGACGACCAGGGCCTCACAGCCCAAGACCCCCGTCCAATTCCCAACGACAATGCCCCCGCCAGATCACCAAGGAGGAGCGAGGAACCCAACGAGAGAACGAGGCTTCTCAACCACCCCAGGCCACCACCTCACTCGGATGGCTATCTCGACCCAGATGACCCAGCTGTAGGTCGATCCCACATCCACCATAATTCTTATACTAACCACTGCAGGTATCGCCCTACAATCTGTGGACGGTTCGGGCTATGCGATATCTCACCATCCTCTTCCTGATCATTAGCTTCTTATGGTGGGTCCTCCTGCTGGTCTCCATCTTCGTCTCGCCTCCTGGACTGCACACGCGCGGATCGGGCTTCTTTGACTTTGCCTACACGTGCCTTACCATTGGCAATCTCCTCGTCGTTACCATCTTCTTCATTACACCAGCCAGGGGATTGCGCATCACCACATCCATCATTGCAGGTCTCTTGGCTATTGACATGATTCTCATCCTGTCAATTCCACGCATAAGGCTCGAAGAGGGGTGGGTCGGCATTGCAAGTGTCGTCTGGGCATTCCTTATGGCTGTCTGGTGCATATTGACTGATCGCGTCGTGGCCTACGGCAAGCGCGAAGAAGAGGAGCGTCTTACTGGCCGCGCAGAAACACGCCGCACCTTGAAGGAATGGGTCGCCGTTCTGCTTGCAACCATTGTCACAGTTGTCTTTATTGTTATTGTGATTCTCATGACTGCCACCCTCGGTATACGTGGCCGCGATGCAACACTCAAGATGGAAGGTGAGCGCATTCTTGTGGATGGAGACAAGTACGCTGTCCATCTCGCCTGCATGGGCAACGTGACCGAGACGCACGGCTCCAAAGACCCCACCATCATTCTCGAGGCCGGCGAGGAACCATTGGAGTATGACTTTGAGCACTGGGCATATGCAGCCTATAAAAACGGCACCATCTCTCGGTACTGCTACTGGGACCGCCCAGGCTATGCCTTTTCCGACAACGCCCCCTCGCCACACTCGGCTGGCATGTCTGCAGATGCGCTTTCTGAAGCACTCGCTAGGTCTGGTGAAGAAGGCCCATGGATCCTCGTGTCAGCTGGTACTGGCAGTATTGTCTCACGCATCTTCAGCTCACGCCATCTGAAGCAGGTCACTGGCATCATGATGATTGACCCTCTTCACGAGGACCTTCTCCACCGCATCGGCAACCCCGGACGTGGTTTCTTGCTCTGGGCCTGGGGCATCATCTCGCCTCTAGGTACGGTCCGGCTGGCCGGCGCACTCTTCAAGGGCCGCACACGTGAAGATCGCGTCTACGGCCGCAACGCCTACCAATCCGGCAAGTTCATCAAGGCGCAGCTCCAAGAAAACCTCGTCGCCGACAGCCTCACCAAGAACGAAGTATCCGCAGCAAGAAACATCCAAAGCACAAACACCCCGCTTGTCGTCATCTCGAGCGGAATCGAGGTCAGGAAGAACAGCGAGTGGGAACGTAAACAGCACGACTTGACCCGCCTGACAGACAACCTCGTTAGCTGGGACGTGGTCAACAACGCGCCGCATCAGGTCTGGCAGACGCTCGATGGCCGCACAGCCATGGAAAAGCGTCTCAAGCAGCTCGTCAAAGCCTCCATGAAAGTCAAAATGGAAACTACCGAGAAGGATGAGTAAAAGAAAAAAAGGTTTTCCTCGTGGATAACATTGCCATGAAGAATATGAAAATGAAAAAGGTGAGGCATAGGAAAAAGGCACAAGGGAAATTTGGAGACTTTGCCGGTTTGTGAGGAAATTCGGTATGCTGTTGCGCGGATAGGCGTCTCTCTCTCTCTCTCTTTCTCTTTCACTTTTACCAACCTAGGATTGATTGTTTCTCCTTCGCATACCCTGTTATTGCTGCATATCTAGTCTAGTCTTTCTTTCTTCTTTTTTCTCAACGTCTTTTCTCGTAGTTCTCGTAGTTGTCTCTTCTTTTTTTTCTTTTTTTTCGTTCCGTACGAGTAAGTACACAAAGCACAACCATGCAAACATTTAGCTTACTTAATGTCTAACACGCTCTATTTTGTTTCAATCGTCTCTCCTTCCCACCCCCTTTGCTGTCTACATTCCATGACACCTGCACCTGTGTATGAACATGATCACGCCCAGCAGCACCAATACTGCTATACGGCAAACAAGCCCAAAAAAAGCGTTAGAAATAAGAATGTGATTGGGTCGTTAAATTCCTTAAAACGGGGGGGGGGGGCTTTGTCATATCCCAACAACAACAGCATTTGTCCCAGGCGCTCGCTCTTGATACCGTACAAGCAAGCAAACTAGCAACTCGGGCTTAGCTCAACAGACTGGGAAGGGAAAAAGAAAAGAAAACGAGGAAAGAAGAAAAAAAGGAAACTTCGTAACGCTATCATACATACTGTGCGTGACGCTCTGAGACCATGACTAATAAACCCTTTTTGTGTACCGAAAGGACTTGCACACAATACAAGAGCAAGAAAAAACAAAAGGGAAAAAAGGGGTGGAGGGAACCACCAGTGATGTGCGTGACCAACAGACTAGCCAGACGGACCCATGTATCCATGTCTACAACTTTGCGCTTCTTGTTCGTTCAACATAGTCAAGATCAAGACAAGGCAAGACAGATAACATATTCAAGACGGAACGTGTGCGTGATTATGAACAACGGGATCGAAGCGGGTTGCGCGGGGAAAAAGCGAGGGATTCTATGCCTCGACATCGTTCTTGCGGCGGCGGATGCTACCGAAGCGTTTCTTGAGAGCGTTGCCCATGCTCTTGCCCGTGCTGTTACTGCGGTTGACGGCCGGGTTGGAGTCGGAGGTGATGGCGTCAGGGGCATCGGTGTGGCCTGCGCTGCGGGTACGATGGCTGCGCGTCTTCATTTCTGTGCCCGAGTCGCCGGTGCGCTTGTGCTCTTTGAGCGCTCTCTCAATTGTGAAGGACGGTTCGCCCTTGCCCTTGAGGTCGTCAGGGTGGTATTGCTGAGGATGCGTTAGTAAGTGCAGTTTTTCAAACAGATGCGAGGCAGACATACCACTCCAGGCCAGCGACGATAGTCACCACCAGGCTCACGCTGCAGGTCGGCTCCCTCTTCGTAATCGAGAACCCTTCCGAAACGATCGGCCATGCCGGGTGGGATATTGGCAACACCTTCGAGAGGGCGGTGCCTCTGAATGGAATCGATAATGTTTTCACGGGGCGTGGCTCTCAAGGCCTCCTCGTTGGAATCCTTGACAGCCGCAAGGGGGCTGTATCTCGTGTCCCTGTTGCGGGCGATGCTGGCAGCATCGTATGGACCCTCGTGGTGGTAGCGACCAATGCTCGTCTTATCGAGACGGTCGATGACGTCGGCGCCCTGGAAGTTCTTTTTCCTAAGGTGTGGAGCACGGTGAGCAACCTTCTCATCATGACGCAGCTGGTCGAGTGGGCGGTGAGACTTGTCGCCTGGGTAGCGTGCTTTGAGGGAGCCTCCTCGGGAGAGTTCAGCCTTGTTGAGCGAAGAGGGCGCCGGGTTGCTGGCTCGCCGTGGCTTGCCCTGGTTCATGGGTCCGAAGGCTTCGGCGCGGTGGTCGTTGGGGAACCGGGCACGTTTGGGGCTGGCCGAGCTGGGAGGGGATGGGTAGTCATACCTCCTGCTCTGCGACGAAGTGTGCCTATGTTGCGACACTGAAGGCGAGGCGCCCTTGGTGTCGGACGCAGCCCTCGAGCGCCGGAATGGGTTGGTCTCGGCTGAACTGCCGGTGCTTTGCACCTTGACAGAGGCGTGGTCCTTGGGGAGTCCGGCGGATCCAGGTGGCGTGAGGGGTTCTGCGGGCGCAAACGTCGAGCGGAAGTGGCTGTTGAGCCCAGTCTCGTCGCTTGGGTCCGGCTCGATCAGCGGATCAATCAGGGCGTGTTGTGCCTGCAAAAGTCAGCCATTGCATCCATGCGCATATACTCGGGGAGACATGCGGCATCCATTGTGACCATGGCGATGGACTGGGGGGAATTGGCGGGGCGAGGCTCAGCGGCGGGAGAGAGCTTTATACGGGCCAGCGGGAAATCAGCTGAGAGTGTTGGGGAGCAAAAAGCAAGCGGGCGTCAGGTGCAATATGAGTGTGAGCAGAGACAGGCAGGGCCAAAAGCAAGAGCAGGTGACGGCGAGGACGGCGGGATACAGGCCCAAGTGGGCAGGCATCGTCTGCCAGTGGACGCGTACACACATGTCATGGCGGCTCAGTCGCGGCCCTGCGTCGTTTGTGCTTGTCGTGGGCTCGTTTGGGCGGGTTTGGCTTGGGTTGAGTCGTGGGCGGACGGGCGGGCGGCCCAATCGCTGCCCGTACGTCATGCGGATGCGCTAGGCTGCAAGCGGGGCCGGGCCCTTTGCTCTTCTCCACCACTGTGACGACAGCTCGATGATCCCTCTCCCACACCCGCCCCTCGCCGCCCGCCATGCCCCTGGTGGCCTATCCAGATTCGGCCTCGGACGATGACAGCCATCACGGCGCCGCCGCCGCCGCTGCTGCTGCTCGAGATAACGACGGCCTCGCCAAGCCTGCCCTTCCCAAGCGGAAACACAGCCATGCCGCCGACGATGCTGCCCAGGCCCGGCCTCTGCCTCTGCCTCTGCCACCACTGCCCGCAGCATTCCACGACCTCTACGCGGCAAATGCCCGCGTCAGCACTAGCGACAATCCAGACCTCCACGGCGGCCGTCGACGGGCGGTGCCTCACGTGCAGGGTAACTGGCCCAGCCATGTCTACTTAGAGTGTAAGGCTAGCCTATCCGCTCGGCCCCGCGTACCTGATGGACGACAGACTGACGCACCAGAGGGGTGCCAACACAGGCCGAGTCCAATGCTCTGCACAGCCTCATCCAGCACGTGCGCGATTTGCTCGAGGCTGGGAATGCCCGGCGTGTCAAGAAGCTGCCCATGCCAGACATCATCCCCTCGCTCCAGTCAGATCTAGGTGCGTTGCTGCCTCTGCATGTATCTCTATCGCGGACACTGCAAATCAAGACCCATGACAGGGATGCCTTTCTCGACGCCCTGAGAGCTTCCCTGCGGCGGTGCGCAGTGTCCGCATTTACTTGCGAATTCCAGGGCCTGAAATGGGTGCCCAACTTTGAACACAACCGATGGTTCTTGGTCCTGAGCATAAAGCGCCCAGAGAACGATGAATTAAACACGCTCCTGCGTGCTTGTAACCAAGCTGCCCAAAACACTGGCCATCCAGGTCTGTATACCGGCGGCGCAGGAGACGGCCCGATGGACGTCGACCACAAGGATGGTCCCAAGAGAAGAAGGGTGGACGGAAATGAAATTGGGCCCAAGGATTGCTCGCAACATTTCCACGTCAGCATAGCTTGGAACCTGACTGAGCCCGAGGCTGAGTGGACGACTCTGGTTCAAGCGATTGAGGCGAGTAGGTATATTAAATCCCCAGAAGCTTCATTCGACGCTGTAAAGGTCAGGATTGGAAACGCTGTCCATAGCATCGCTCTGGGCCCCAAAAGGCCTGGTCTAGGAATCCGTGGCCGAGTCTTGGGTTTGACTTGACGCGTTTGTTGCTTCGGTCCAATGACGTGATGGGTGGCTTCGCAAGGATATCGGGACTTGTTGGGAATTTCCAGGGAATTTGTGGTTCCCCGGAGAGCACGACCCAACACGACGACGTAATTTTCAGAATTGTTGGCAGCCTTGCGGCTCTCACAGGCCTCGATCTGAGAATGAAGTGGCGATAGCGAGTTGACGATATCCATGACCTTAAAAATGCATTACTGATCGGATAAGACAGTTGGGAAATGTCATTGGTAGGTCCCTGCATTCTTCCTGGTACTGCCACATGGACTAATGTAAACACCAAGCACTGTCAAATAAACAAACAATTTTTTTTGGCAATACAACACGAAGGGTAACAAGCCATCCTTGCACAACGTCAAGCTCAACATGCAAGGCTGCCGTCACGTGACCTACTAACAGCGCACTAAGCAACATCGTCTGAAAGGGTTCCCATGTCGCGCGTCGATGGGTTTCCGTTCATCTCAATTTCATTTTTTCATTTTTTTCATTTTTTTTGAACACGAATAATTCACAACGATCAACTCTACCATATATTTCGACCTCCTGTGTTTGGAATACCTATACTAATCACGCGACCGTTTATAGAAATTGAAAAAAAAAGAACTTTTCACACTAACGTGGTTCATAAGCGAGTCGGCCACTTTGTACCGTCGCGTCAACTTCAACACGTTATCACAGTCTTTTATCACAGTCAATAAACTATTGCAATATACTAAATTAATTGTCAGAATCGCTACTATCACTTGCACTATCTATCTCAACTGCGCAGGTACGAGCGTTGTGTCCAGTCTGCTTGCAACGCCCGCACCGCCGCTCTCCTCGCACCCTCTTCGACGCACTCTCACCATCACCACGACTGCTACCCGCCTGTTCAGCTAATACTTCTTGTACTTCGCCTACAGTAAGAGTCTCTTCTGTGCGTACGTATCGCCGCTTGCAGCTCTTACGCTTATTTGCTGTGTCTAGAGCCTCTCGAAGAGCAGCTACTTCCTCCCTCATAAGCGTCATCTCATGTGCTATTTGCTAAGCCCCTTTACTTAGCTGCACAACCTTCTCGTCAAGAGAATTTGCAGAAGACCTAGGGCGGTTTCTTACTCTCTGTCGAATAAGAGTACTTTGAGCCTCAACCTCGCGCGCGTTGCGTGGTGTCTGCGCCTCCCAGGCGGCTGCCTGTCGCGGTGATTGTACTGGCGTCTGCACCACCACATCAAGCTTAGATAGCACAGCCTGTGGGTCGTGTGGGACTAGTCCAGTGCCTCTGAAGCTAGCTTGGATATTCTCCTTCGTGATAGACTGCTCAAAAGCAGCCTTAAAGGCTGGTAGGAAGGTTTTCTTGCTAATATAGTGGGTGCGGTTGCGTGCCAAGCCTGAAACAGCGTCGCCATACTTACGCTTTAACGGCGAGAAGCAGGCGACGTCAAGGGGCTGCAACAGGTGAGACGAGTGCGCAGGCATGCAGAGAAGCACAATATTCTTCTCCTTGCAAAGATCTTGAAAATTGATGGAGCAGTGGCTCTCATGGCCGTCAATAATAAGCAGTCGATACCCACCTACAGTATGCCTCTTTGTATGGGTATCAAAGTGCTCTAACCAGGCAAGACCAAGCTAATTATTCGTCCACCCATTAGGACTGACTTCAAGAACCCAGTTGGCAGGCAAATCCTCAAACTAGACGTTGATAAGCACCTTGCCCGCAAAGACAACAAAGGGTGGTATTCGGCGACCCGACGCGCCCACGCCTTGGATCACAGTAACCCACTCACGGTTGCCTAGCTGTACTTGTTTCTTTTTCCTATATCCTTCTAAGCCTGTGATAACTAACTGTGATAAAATCTTGCCTATCATAAAGCTAGTTTCGTCAAAGTTGTAGATATCATCGTCCACAATACCCCACTTCTGCTTTGTCGCCTGGACTAAGTCAAACCAGCGCTGGATAGCCACTGGATCCTCGCAGGCGGCTCGCTGGTGATCATAGGGACGGCTCCAGCGCGTACGGAGCTCAGGAGTCCGCTTAACAAAGTTGTCAACCCAGTTCTTGCCAACAGGGTTGCCACCACGCTCCTCTAACAGTTTATTGGCCATTGCTCGAACCTCAGCCTTTATAGGGGCAAATCCTCGCGTAGACTCTTCAAGAATACGCCTAACAATAGCCTCCTCTTCTAGCTTATTTAGGCGCTTTGAATTCGGTTCGCAGTCGCGTCGAAAGCGCTTTCTAGCGCGTTGGTCTTAGAGAGTAGTTTGAGGCACGTTATAGATAGAAGCAGCACGTCTTTAGCTTTAAACACGTTGCGATTGGACGTTAAAAAGAGCAAGTTAAAGATTAGATTTAGAATAGATTAACAAATGATTGTGTGGTTGAGACATTACGCGTTATAGTGTTAACGTCGACGCGCCGGTACAAAGTGGCCGACTCGCTTGGGTGGCCGACTCGCTTATGAACCACGTTACAAAATATCTTCTATCAACAGCACATACATGGCCTAGACTAAGCACAAAATATGCGCAAACAAGGTGTTCAAGGCTAATTAGTAGGCATGCCTTGGACTGAGGCAGCCAGTCATATCACCAGAATGCGTCACTCAGCCATTGTGCTATGGTCGGACTTTAGAACTTCGCGACCGGAGACCGAGACAGTCAGCGTAAGAGATGGAGAAGTGTTGTTTTTGTGGTATGTGCTCGCGTCCTCGCGCAATTCTAGCGTGCGAAAGGCCGAAGGCGCTCCGCGACCACATGCACTAGTAAGGCTACGACACAGCAAAACGTGATTTGGGTGTGTTAGGCAACCATCTTGAGACGTGATGGTAAGGAAGGTAAAGAGAAGGGGGTAAGCATTTAAAGACCAGTGGTGTGTGAGCTGTGCGTGCAACAACTTTGCTCACGTAACAGAACAGCAATCCCTCATTCATCGGGCACCAAGTTTGTCAGCCTCGTACTGTTATAATTAACAACCTACCTTGCTCGCACGGGACTGCTGCGCACAAACAGAAGAATAAAGCAAAAAAATTAGAGCAACACGTGTATTATCGGCCATGCCCTCCGCCACAGCACAGCATAAGCTTAAAATCAGCATTATAGGCGCGGGTCCTGCGTCCCTGGCCCTCGGGTGCGTCCTCCAAAAACACGGCGTCGCATTCACTCTCTTCGAGGCATCGCCGGAGCTGCGCACGCAGGGCGGATCTCTAGATCTGCACCCGCAGTCTGGCCAACGCGCACTCAAGGCCGCCGGGCTATGGGGCGAGTTTAAAAAGCATGCACGGCCCGAATGCGATGTCATGAAGATAGTCGACATGAGCGGCGAGATCCTGTGGGACGAAAACGGGGCTGATAAGCAGGCGAGCAAAGGGGGCGAGGCCGCCTTCGATGCTCGGCCTGAGATTGATCGGTTGGCGCTCGCGACGCTCATGTTTGACAATCTCGACGCGGGCTCAGTGCGGTTTGGCAAGAAAGTTACGGAAGTGGTGCCGTCGGCCCAACACGGAAACAAATACGACGTGCACTTTGCCGATGGCACGCAGGAACTGGCGTGTGACGTTGTGGTTGGGGGCGACGGGGCGTGGTCAAAGGTTCGCAAGGCGCTGTCGGATCAGGTGCCAGAGTACTCTGGCATCTCGTCTGTGTGGGGGACATGTGCCAATGTCAGGGGTGATGCGTGGCTGTTGCAGTATGCGGGAGAGGGCAGTCTGATGGCGTTTGGAGAGGGGTGTGCGGTGCAGAGTCAACGGCAGGGAGACGGGAGCCTGAGAACGTATGCCTCGTTGCGCGTACCCGAGGACTTTTTGGAGACTTGCGGCATTGACTGGACGGATGCCCACACGGCGCGAAAGCAATATGTCGAGCGCTACTTCTCCCACGTCCACGAGGGCCTCCGGCGCCTGGTCCTGTCCTGCGCCGATGGCCTGGAGCGGCGCTCCTTTTACGAGCTCCCGGTCGGTTTTCGCTGGCCGCATCGCCAGGGCGTGACGCTGATCGGAGACGCAGCGCACGTCTTCACGCCGTTTGCCGGCGAGGGAGTCAATGTGGCCATGGAGGATGCCTTGGTGTTGGCGCAAGAGATAGTCAAGGTGTGCAATGGCGAGAAGAGCCTCGACGAGGGACTCGTGGATTATGAGGAGGAGATGTTCCCGCGCTCAGCCAGGGCGGCGGTCAAGACGGCCAAGGGGAAGGAGGGCCATTTCAGCGGCTCTGGATCCAGGGAGTTTGCGGATAGGCTCAAGGCACACTATTCCCACGGCCAGGGCAAGCAGCAGCCAGGGCAGTGAGGTGAGGTGAGGGCGGGGCGCAAATTGGACGTTGCCAAAAAAGGGCTTCAATGGCTCCGTAGCATCGCATGAGGTACTAGGAAGCACTCGAATAGGGACGATCGGCAGATTAGTGCAGCGCATGTCAGCAGGGGGGGTGCCGCTGTGCATGTGGATTCTCCGGCGTTAATAATAGCTCGTGCTGAACACCCTCCGAGTAAGCGTAATCACGAGCGATGTACATACGCCATAAGGCAACTCGCACGTCTCCTAGCTGCCTCCGTCTCACGTTATCGGACAACGGTCCCCCCTAGTGTTTTGCACAGGAAATGCTCGTACTCGTAATTGTGTGATGCAAGCACATTTTTCTTGCCCCTGTTTGCATGGCCGGCGGCAGAGAAGACTGGCCCTGTGGATCCGCAGAGCAATAGCCTTGAGAGCAGCACCGAGTCCATCGATCTTCCAGGCGACGTGAGCCTGGATCGCAGCGGATCGCCTCACATGCGTGGCGACAAGTGCTGATTTGATTTGCTTCATGGCCCCGTCATGGCCACTGCATTTGCCCGAGCGAGTCTTATAAGGTTCCAGAGCGGGAGATATCCCTGAGCGGAGAGGGACAGCGGAGTGCATTGTGATGTCTATCGTCGATAGCGGTAATAGTGGGTTTATTTCTGGCCAAGTCCCGAGTCGTGCGAAGGGGAAAAGGGGGGCACACACCACCCTCCGCTGGACAAAGTCGTGGTCGTGCCTTGGATACGACGCTCGGTCAATTGAGCAGACGGGCGACAAGGCAAGCCCCCCTGTCCCGGACGGTTGTGTACCTGCATACGCGTGCGCTGTGGCCATGGTTCTGCCTGGCGAGGTGCACAAGAGCTTGCCCATGCGTGAATACCGCGTGAATACCGCGTGAATACTATGTGTAATAGCCCGGCAGCCGCGGTGTCAGTGCTGTGCGTTCGATCTGCTGAGAGCCAGATGCTGGGCCGCCTTTTCAGGGATGCCAGTCGCCCTCTCATGCGGCCAATGGGTCGGCAGCCACACCCGACCAGGGCGCGGATGACGGCGTGCGAAGATGGCGATTGAAGCTCGTTGCCTCCATGGGGGGGGGGGTGTTGCTTGCGCAAGTCGTTGCTGGCTGCAGTGACGCACTTGTCGTGGTTGTTCGTCTTCAGGGTGACAGGACGGGCCTAACCACATGCGAGTCTGGCAGACGCCATTCCTGATCTCCACCCAACACGACCTCTGTACCCCAGATGTCATTTCCGCTCGGGGCAGCTCGCCAGCTCAATACAGCCGGAAAAAGAGGATCCCATGCCGTTCTGGTACAGCCATGCCCAGGCCTAATTTCAAAGGACCCCTAGCTAACGGCTTCGAGCCATGCCGGGCCACTGCCTACCGAGCTCACAGGCCCATGGCTCACCACTCAAAACCGCTGTCTTGTCCGGCACTGCTTCGACTTCTTCTTTTTTTTCTTGTCACGCAAGGCTTTTCGTTACGCATTGCCTCGTTGACAAGTTTCTTTTTTTTATTAGGCCTATTGTGCCCCGTCACTCGTTACTTAACTCTATCGCTCCTTATTATCTTAATCGTATCCGCTTCACTCTCTCAGCGGACGTATAAAAAACTTTACACACACACATACACTCGTTGCCCACGGAGAAAACCAGACTTGGGAATATTTAATTTTTCACGATGAAGTACTCCTTCGTCACCGCCGCCCTGGTGGGATCCGTCTTCGCGTCTCAGCACAAGGGCCACGGAGGCTTCCACTTGCGTCGTGGTGGTTATGAGGCGGCTCCTCCTCAGCCCCAGGGTGATGTCTGCACCGTCTACACCACCGTGTACGTGAGCCAGCGTAAGTACAACCTATTGTGTTAGAATCAAGTGCACCACTGACGTTGAATAGCACCAACCCCCGAGTCTACCTCTTGCACTGAGGATGTTCCAAGCCCCACGGGTCCTGCTCCCAACGTGCCTCAACAGAGCCAGCCAGGCTACCCGCCTTCGGGCCCCAATTCCCAGCCTCCCGCTCCTAAACACTGCAGTACTTGCACCAGCGAGACTCCTTACCCCACTGGTCCCCAGCCCGGCTACCCGACTGGTCCTCCACCAAACGGTCCTCAGCAGAGCCAGCCAGGTTACCCGCCTTCGGGCCCCAAGTCTCAGCCTCCTACTCCTGAGCACTGCAGCACTTGCACCGGTAAGACTCCTTACCCCACTGGTCCCCAGCCCGGCTACCCGACTGGTCCTCCACCAAACGGTCCTCAGCAGAGCCAGCCAGGCTACCCACCTTCGGGCCCCAAGTCCCAGCCTCCCACTCCTGAGCACTGCAGCACTTGCACCGGTGAGACTCCTTACCCCACTGGTCCCCAGCCTGGCTACCCGACTGGTCCTCCACCCAACGGTCCTCAGCAGAGCCAGCCAGGCTACCCTCCGGCTCCCCCGATGAGCACTCCTGGACAGCCGGGACACCCGCCAGTTCCTGGACAGAGCACCTCCTGCACTGAGGAGACCTCCAGCCCTACTCCGGGTGTGCCTCAGCAGACTCAGCCCGGATACCCCACCGGTCCTCATCCCAATGTGCCTCAGCAGAGCCAGCCAGGCTACCCACCTTCGGGCCCCAAGTCTCAGCCTCCTACTCCTGAGCACTGCAGCACATGCACCGGTGAGACTCCTTACCCCACTGGTCCCCAGCCCGGCTACCCGACTGGTCCTCCACCAAACGGTCCTCAGCAGAGCCAGCCAGGCTACCCACCTTCGGGCCCCAAGTCCCAGCCTCCCACTCCTGAGCACTGCCGCACATGCACCGGTGAGACTCCTTACCCCACTGGTCCTACTCCCAATGGGCCTCAGGAGAGCCACCCTGGCTACCCACCTGCTCCCATGAGCACCCCCGGCCAACCTGGACACCCGCCAGTCCGTGAGCAGAGCACTTCGACCACCTGCACTGAGGAGACCACCAGCCCTACCCCCGGTGTTCCCCAGCAGACTCAGCCCGGATACCCCACCGGTCCTCATCCCAATGTGCCTCAGGAGAGCCACCCCGGCTACCCGCCAGCTCCCATGAGCACTCCTGGACAGCCGGGACACCCGCCAGTTCCTGGACAGAGCACGTCGACAACCTGCACTGAGGAGACGACTAGCCCTACTCCTGGTGTCCCTCAGCAGACCCACCCGGGATACCCCACTGGTCCTGTCCCCCAGCACAGCAAGCCCACTGTCCCCCAGGAGAGCACGTCGACAACTTGCACCGAGGAGACGACTAGCCCTACTCCTGGTGTCCCTCAGCAGACCCACCCGGGATATCCCACTGGCCCTGTCCCCCAGCAGAGCAAGCCCACTGTCCCCCAGGAGAGCACATCTACGACTTGCACTGAGGAGACCACTAGCCCTACTCCGGGCGTTCCTCAGCAAACCCACCCGGGATACCCTACCGGTCCCTCGCCCCATGGTCCTCAGGAGAGCCACCCTGGTCACCCCCAGGAGAGCACCTCCACCACCTGCACTGAGGAGACTACCAGCCCAACTCCCGGTGTTCCTCAACAGACTCACCCTGGATACCCCCAGCAGAGCAAGCCGACCGTCCCTGAACAGAGCACCTCCACCACTTGCACCGAGGAGACCACTAGCCCGACTCCTGGCCACCCCACTGGTCCTCAGCCTGGATACCCCACTGGCCCTACTCCCAACGGTCCCCAAGAGAGCCACCCCGGATACCCCCAGGAAAGCACCTCCACCACCTGCACCGAGGAGACCACTAGCCCTACTCCCGGTGTCCCTCAGCAGACTAAGCCCGGATACCCCACCGGTCCCTCGCCCCATGGTCCCCAGGAGAGCACCTCCACCACCTGCACTGAGGAGACTACCAGCCCAACTCCCGGTGTTCCTCAACAGACTCACCCTGGATACCCCCAGCAGAGCAAGCCGACCGTCCCTGAACAGAGCACCTCCACCACTTGCACCGAGGAGACCACTAGCCCGACTCCTGGCCACCCCACTGGTCCTCAGCCTGGATACCCCACTGGCTCTACCCCTGCGGCGATGAGCACTCCCACCTACCCTAACGGTCCCCAGCAGAGCAAGCCTACTGTCCCTGAGCACAGCACTGAGTCTACCACCTGCACCGACGAGGTCCCCAAGCCTACCACCCCCGTTGCCGTTCAGAGCATGCCCGCTTCCTCCCCTACTGGCAACACTCCCTATCCCACTGGAGGCTACGGCGGCAGCGGCCACATCACGACCAACGGAAACAAGTGGGCCATCACCTACACCCCTTACGCTCAGTCTGGCCTGTGCAAGTCCCGTGAGGAGATTGTAGCCGACATCAAGAAGATCCACGACCTTGGCTTCACCACGATCCGTGCCTACAGCACTGAATGCAATGTCTTCGAGTGGGTTGTGCCCGAGTGCCAGAAGTACGGAATCAAGATCATCTACGGTATCTTCCTCGAGGCCAACGGCAAGGGCTGCTTCTCTGAGCACGCCGACCAGCAGCTCCAGGAAATCAAGAACAAGGCGCCCAAGGACTCTGTCGCCATGGTCGTTGTTGGTAACGAGTGCATGTTCAACGGTAACTGCCAGCCCCAGCAGCTTGCGTCGTACATCGACCACGTCCGCCAGGAGCTCTACGCCGCCGGTTTCCCCAGGACCATTGCCATCACCACCTCTGAGCCCGTCGGTACCTGGCAGGAGAAGGGTGCCGCCCTCTGCGACCACATTGACGTGACTGCCTGCAACGTCCAGCCCTACTTTACGGATTCCATCACCGCCGACATGGCCGGAGACTTTGCCGTCACGCAGCTCAAGCTCGCCGCCGAGGTGTGCCCTGGTCCCTCAAACAACGGTTCGTACATTCTCGAGATTGGTTGGCCATCCCAGGGCTCGCCCAACGGCCAGGCCGTCCCCGGCGTCAACCAGCAGAAGACTGCCATCCACAGCATCATGGACAAGGTTGGTGACCACTGCGCTGTCTACTCTTTCAACGACGACTCGTGGAAGCCTGCTGGTCCCCACGGTGTGGAGCAGCACTTTGGCTGCACTGACGCTCTCGCCTCGTACTAAGTTTGCCTCTTCCCATTCACTTAGCACGCACGCATGCACGCACTCGCGCCAAGTCAAAGGGGGGGGGGCCAAAAAAGGAGGGAAAAAACAACAACAACATCAACAACAACAAGATTCATGTGTTACTGTACGTAGCCAGGACAAGGGAATAACTTCACATTAAAGGATTTAATAATCACGTTTTCGGGAGGGGGAGGGGAGATATATATATATATATTTCCTACTGCGCTCAATACGCGATCAACGTCTCTTTTGTCCCCTTGTATCTATCCATCTCTCATTAAAGTCATCTTAGATTAGAGCTCAGTGTGTGTGTGGAGCTGTGTGTGTGTGGAACTGTGTGGTTGCTTAACTTGTCTGAGCCTCTTCTCGAGTTGTCGTGTAATGTAACTTGTTGAATACCTTGACTACTCTCTCTCTCTCTCTCTCTCTCTCTGCTTCTCTCTCCCGTGTTAAGAATGTGACTCCGAGTGCACGTGTCCAAGTTCTTTTTTCTTTACATTCTATTACAGTAGCTTTGTCCTGGTCCCAAATGCAAACAAGTTTCAACCACTTTTTTTTCCCCTCCTCCTCGACTTTGCTCTCTGCGTGCTGTCCTCCCCCCATACTTGTCTGTGGGACTTATGTGCAGCAACAAAAGCCCTGTCTGCGCTCCCCCCCTTCGAATCCCTTGTTTTCGTTTCTTCTCTTTTCGGTCCGGTGATCGGAAATTTGCGGAAGCGCTGTTTTTTTTTAAATGGATAGGGCAGGGCGACTACTACATGTGTGTGATGTGTGAATACGGATATTGTGGCATGTTTTTTTTTCTGCAGCAGGGGCATGGGCATGGAATGTGGCTGTGCTCTTTTGCATGTGCATGTGTGTGAGAGGGTGTGTGTGGGTGGGTATTGGAAGGGGGGGGGGAAGCGATTAGAATAGTATACGGGAAATTAAACAGCGTCGTCATCGTCGTGGCTGGTAAGTACAGTATGATTTGTGTGTATGGATAAGAGTCAGGGCTGCGTGTGAATGTAGGTCTTTGTTGGTTCGGCGCTGGGTATTTACGGTGGGAATTGCAGTTGCTGTTGCGATGTCCAGTGAGTCGTGGATACAAGTTTGCAAATGATGATGGTAAGGTAGGTGTTGTATGTGGATATGCTCATTGAACGGGCTATACCTCATATGCGCAAGCGCCGTAGCTGCCAGCACCAACGCCAACGCAGAAGCTGAGCGAAGGCGGGAGATCGACAAAACGGCCAGAAGCAAGAGTAAGTATGTAGCATCGTGCGCCTTACCACGTTTTTTCTTCGCACTTTGTGTCTACCCAAGATAAGGCTTTTTTTTGTCTTTCTAGCGCACTTCCACTTACGACGGGATTTACGCTTGAGTTTTAACTTCTCGTCAACGCCTAGCACCGACTTGTTCTTGTGGAGAGGGGGAAATGGCTGCAGCAGCATCACCACCACCACCACCACCACCACCGCCGCGAGCACGACCCCACCGCTACCGACCATGGACTTTTACTACGCTATCTGGCGTCGCATCGCTCGTTCTACCTATCATAGCGCTCGTGCGTCTATACTTTATATCACGCCTATCTGTCTACACGCTTGTGTATGGGTGTGCAATCAGCGGTGTCACGTTCCTCATGTACGGGTATGACAAGATGCAAGCGCGGAATCTGGAGTGGCGGGTCAAAGAGACGACATTGCAGACATTGGCTCTTGTGGGAGGCTGGCCGGGCGCGCTGGCGGGCATGCATTATTTCCAGCATAAGACGCGCAAGACGAGGTTTCAAGTCGTGTTCTGGGGCATTGTCTTGGGGTGGGAAGGCGTCGCGTGCATGGTGTGCAGTGGTGGGGTGCGAGTGTGGTGAACGGAACAGAACAGAACAGGGTTAGGTAAGAGAGAGAGAGGTATTAATTGATTGTTTTGAGGTTCATAAGATACCAAGGGTCGTTGAAAGGGGGTTCGTCAATATCGTGGAAGTGGGTCGTAGTCGTGTGGATGAAAAAAGAGACACCTTGGAAGAAACACATGCGTACACAGCCAAACGCTACCACCGCATACCGCCGAAATTCGTTGCGCCATTACTTCGTATCCTGCTGGACATCATGCTGAGGTGTGCCCTTGGCTTTGCCCGCCATTGTCGAAACACGCTCGAGCGCAGCTTTGGGATAGCTCTGCACCGTGTCCCAGTCAAGCCGATCTGACACACTCTTGGTCAAGTTCGCCGCCGAATCCCACACTTGGGTTGCTGCGCGAACTGCACAAACAAAGAGCATTAGCGGCCAGTAAAGGGACTGGTGAGGGTGTCCGCGGCTTCACCAGCTTGCTCGCCAAGTGGGTTTTGCGTGGCGCCGCCAGCAAGGTTGCTGATGCCCTTTTTGACGTTCTTGACGTCCTCCTGGTCCGAGGCGGGGATCTTGTCGATTGTGTCTAGAGGGTGTCAGTACATGTACGCCACACCAGCCTGGCAGGGGACGGGCTGCGGCGTGTTTGACCATGGCATCACTTACCCTTTGTCATGTATGACATCTTGTTTTCGCCCATTGTTTTGAGCGCCTGCCGCTCCAACTTGCGCTTCAACTCGGGCGGGATGCCGAAAAAGTAGAGGTAGGCTGTGGCCAGGGCCACCAGGGCAGCAAAGATGGTGAGGAAGCCAACGGCCATGGTCGCAGGGTATTTAGGGCAAGGTGGTGTGACGAATGTAGTCGTAGTGCAGAGAGAATGGTCCAGCGGTGGGCTGAGTGCGGCCGTTGTTGTCGTCCAAGGTTGGTCAAGATGGCAGAATTTATGTATCGAGGCGCTCGAGGCATGACGTATGTAGTAACGGCACATGCAAACCTGTCGTGCCAGCCCTGGCAGCCCTGTTCCCGCTCTTACCACAACGACAAGGCCCTTCCATCTTGGCAGCTGGGCCGTTTGATACACTGCGTAGTTCCTCCCCCCTCGACGCGGTATTTCTCGGGTCTGACCATTGCTATTACCATGCACTGGCGTCTGGACCGCGACAAGACTGATCGAGACGGGGCGGCCGGGCAGGCTGGCTACGGCCCCTGCTCCAGGAGCTAGGTAGAGGGAGATGACAGGAGCCGCCATGGGGCGAGGGTGTGTGACGCCAGCAGGGCGCAAGCGAGCGGGAGCGAGACGGGGAACAGAGGCAGAGGGGCGCCAAAGAAGGACAACGGCTGACGGGCATAACGCTATTGCGATTGACGGGCTGCAGGTGCAGGTGCAGGTGCAGGTGCAGCAACGGGGCCAGCGAGCAGCCGGGCGAAAGGGCAGCCGGCGACAACATGACTAGCAGCGCTGCGCTGCGCCTCAAGCTCCAGCCACAAGCCGCGAGGCTGACACGACCCTTCCCATTGCGCCTGCCCCACTGCCGCCCGCCCAGCTGCTACTCCAGCCAGCTCGTTCAAAGACAGACTCCCTCGCTCGCCGCTGACCCCATTGAGCCTGAGCCTCCTTTCCCGCCCCTTTCGCTCCCCTTTGCTGCCCGCTCTCTTCTTTACCCCCCCGCCCTGCTACCTACCTACCAGCAAATTCTTACCCCTCACCCGCTACCAGCCTCCCCCCCACCATCAGCTGAAGGCGCGCCTGATAGGCACCCCCGAGAGAGTCTCACCCCCAGCCGCCTGAACACCTACGCCCGCCGCAGTCGTATAACTGCACCCCCGGCTCGCCCACCATGAGTAGTGCTCCCTGCCCGACACGGCCCTGCGAATTGCCCGACTGACTGCTGGCCCAGTGACAAACATGCTCAACAAGCTGCACGGCCAGCCCGACAGCTACGACCGCAAGTGCGTGTCTCCTGATTCCCCCCGCGCGCTGAAACCAGTACTGAACGTGTCAATGGCAGGTCTCGATACCGCTTCGGAAAGACGCTGGGTGCCGGGACATATGGTATCGTCAGGGAGGCCGACTGTCCCGAGGGCAAGGTCGCTGTCAAGATCATCTTGAAGAAGAATGTCCGCGGCAACGAGCAGATGGTCTACGACGAGCTCGAGATGCTGCAGCGCATGAAACACCCACACATTGTCAAGTTCCACGACTGGTTCGAGTCACGGGTACGCAGACGGCTGGCCCTGAGAAAAAGAGTCGTCAAGCTCACGTTATCCAGGACAAGTACTACATTGTGACGCAGCTGGCGACGGGTGGAGAGCTCTTTGACCGCATTTGCGAAAAGGGAAAGTTCACGGAAAAGGACGCTGCCGAGACGATCCGCCAGGTGCTCGATGCCGTCAACTACCTGCACCAGAACAACGTGGTGCACCGAGGTATGCCGCGCTTTAGCAGCTGTTTGCACGGCAACGCTCACACGACACAGATCTCAAGCCAGAGAACCTTCTCTACCTCACACGCGAAGCCGACTCGTCGCTTGTACTGGCTGATTTCGGTATCGCCAAGATGCTCGACTCGAAGAGCGAGGTGCTGACCACCATGGCCGGCTCTTTTGGATATGCTGCTCCTGAAGTCATGCTCAAGAAGGGCCACGGAAAGCCCGTCGACATGTGGTCCATGGGAGTCATCACATACACACTGCTTTGCGGATACTCGCCGTTCCGGTCAGAGAACCTTGCGGATCTGATCGAGGAGTGCAAGAATGGCCGCGTCATTTTCCACGAGCGCTACTGGAAGGAAGTGAGCCCTGAAGCCAAGGAGTTTATCAAAAAGCTGCTGGAGCCCGACCCAGCCAAGCGACCGACGAGCGAGGTAAGCAGCACCTGGACATGCATCCATGGCCAACTAACACCATGCAGGCTGCCCTCAAGCACGTGTGGCTCAGCGGAAAAACTGCCACCGACCACAACTTGGTGCCAGAGATCAAGGCATATGCCGCAAAGGCCCGTCTCAGGCGCGGCATCGAACTGGTCAAGCTTGCCAACCGTATCGAGGCGCTCAAGATGCAGGAAGACGAGGAGGAAGAGGTGCCTGGAGGAGCCGACATGCCTGCCAACGCGCGCGAGGCTGCCAGCGAAGCCATTGCCGGCAACACGGACGAAAAGGGCCTCGCAACAAAAGAGACGACGGGCACAGGCAAGGGACCCGGACGCCTGAGCAGAATCGCCAAGGGCGCCATTTTCCGAGAGGTTGTACTTGCAAAGGTCCGAGAGATGAAGGAGCAGGAAGCGCGAGCAGAATTTGAGAAGAACGCAACATTAGCAGAATCGGCGAAGAAGTAAGCACATGGCGTTGCTGGACAAGTTTGTCCTTGTTTGTGAGCCGTTGGTACAACATGTTGGGTTTGCTGCAGTATTAGCGGAGGGTCTCATTGTTCCATGTATACCCCCTGGGGGCCAGCAGCCAGGAAGCACTACCTAGTAGCCTCTCGAATGGTCACCTCAGTGTTTGCGGTCTAGTTTCTTGCCGGTGCGTGTGCGGCTGGCGTGGTGATGTCCATGATGGGGTGAACCGCGACCTTGTGCCTGTCCTGTGATGCAACTTGGCTCGTGCGCGTCGTCTTGGCGAAGTCGGGAGAACCCTAGATTGAACACTGCGGCGCGTCCACCGGGTTGACGACCGAACGCGCAATTCACTGCACCGCCGCCACGATCCTTCTTCGCCTCGAGACTCTCTGGAATTTGCTCGGATCGACTACGCGATTACAAAAGTGGTGGAAATGGAGAGCGCGGCCAAGCGCAAAGCCGCGAGCGCCGCTGCGGCCGAGCACGACAATCGCCCTGCGAAGCGACAAAAAGGGACGGTACGTGCAGTCCATGGGTGGATGGTTGATGCATCGTCGCGGCGTGCTCTGGAGATGCAACGAGGCGTCTTGGCCGCGATGCGGGATGGGCTCCTAGGACAAGAGCGCGCGACACACCTGGGGGGCTCGACGAGCAGGCCACCACCGCCGTCGGCCCCTCCTCGCTCCCCCCAACACCACACACGCGCCGACGATGCATCGGGGGGCCCATCGAGGGAGCACGGGGGAATATCGCGACGGGAACAATGCTGACAGCGAAGCGCTTGCGTGCAGGCCGACACCAATGCGACCTCGGAGACGGTAGAGTCGACCACCACAGCGGGCTTGAAGTTCCTCGAAAGCCTGAAGCAGGCCAAAGACAAGACGTGCGTCCAGCCAGACAAAGCCCCGCCCGTTTTCACTGACAGCATCCAGCGGACGGCCCATCGCTGTTCACTTCCTCACGCTTCCGGACAAGGTATGCTCGAGCACGCTTCCACCACCACCATACGCCTCGCTGACGGTAGTGTCCAGGACGAAGTACCCGACTACTACGAGTACACGAAGCTGCCCATCGCCATAGATACCATTGAGGTGCGTTTGCTGTCTCCTCCCAGCCAGCACATCCGGCTTCGATACCACCACATACTTTGCATTGCCGTACTAGAATAGGAGTCGCTGACAGCATGCTTCTCAGAAAAAACTGAACGATGGGGAATACTCCAGCCTTGCTCAAGTCGAGAGCGATTGCAAGCGACTGGTCAACAATGCAAAGGCCTACAACGACAAGAAGTCGGTCATATACGAGGATGCCGAGCGTCTACGCAAGACGGCCTCGAACTGGATGGTCAAGAATAACCCAGCGTATCGAGATGGCAACTACGTCGCAGTCGCGACACCAATCCCCGGCGAAGACAACTCGACCCCGTCAAAACCCTCGCCCCGCGTTACGTCAACACCCAAAATTCCCCAGACACCCACCACCCAGGACATTACCGAGCGCCCTCGACGAGCGGCTGCCATTGCAGCATCGGCCACGCCAGCGCCGTCAAAACTGCGACAGTCGGCGTCTGTAGCGCCCGATGAAGATGATGGTGATGACTACACGGGCAAGACATTCCAGCAGGCACAGGAACAGATTGTACGAGAGATTCTCGAGTATGAGGAGTAAGCGACATGGTTCAGCTGCATTGCGCCAATGCTAACCCACCCCAGCCAAGGCCTACAGATATTCGTTCCCTTCCAAAACCTCCCATCACGGAGCTTGAAAGACTACTATCAACTAATCAAGGATCCCATGTCGCTATCTGCTATACAGAAGAAAGTTCGCGGAGTCATTGGGCGCGAAGCCCCTACCGGCCATACTCTTTTCAAAAGCTGGGATGCTTTTGAGAGTGCATTCAGTTTGATCTGGAAGAACGCTCGCATCTACAATGAAGACGGAAGCGATATCTACAACCTCTCTTTGGAGCTCGAGGTATGCATACTCGTCTTTAGTCACAGTTCGATACTGACCTGCGCAGGAAACCTTCTACAAGAAACTCGAAGAAGCCAAAGCAAAGGTCCCTGAGCCGACACAACCGAAGCTCAAACTCAACATGTCCACGGCGGCATCAGCCCCGAAGCAGCAATTGAAGTTGAAATTGAAACCAAGTCCAGGCTCAGAACCCAATACTCCAAGTGCCCGTGATTCTGCGACTCCGGGTGTCATTGTCGATAATGACGCTCTCTTGCGACAGCAACGACATGTACTCAACAGCATGGGCAATCGATCATCACGGGCCCCATCGGGCGAAGCAGGGACGCCGGGTCCATCGTCTAATCCATTTGTTGGATCCAAGGGCAGCGCTTCGGTGGTCCCTCCATTGCCCGCTACTCAAGGCAGAAATGCAGGATCTCCTACAGTCAATGGTGTCAAACAAGATGTACAGTCTCCGGCGTTGAGCGCGATAAGGCCTGCAAGCACCGCGCCCGATAACGCACGGCTTAGTGTTCCAGCACAAACACCACATCCCAACATGGCACCACCCCAGAACATGTCGCGCACGGCCAGCGGTAGTCCACATCCAAACGGTCTTGGCCTGCAGAATGGCGGCTACATGCCACAGCAACAACCGCAAAGCTATCAGGCGCCTCCTGTTGCACGTGTTGATTGTTTCAGAAAGGCTCCGCTAAAGAGTAAGTGCCGCTTGTTCCAACACCTGAGCGTCTTGCTGATGATTATACAGGTCATGAAGAAGCACTAATACCCAAAATCACACTCAACACGCATCCTGCGCTCACCGCATCAAAGCCATGGTCGGTTACCATTCTTGCTAACAAGCAAAAGACGACATACAGCGCTACCATGGTCGTTGCACCCATCAATTCTTACATCCAAATCATACCCAAGATCCCCATCGCGCTCACTAACCGGATGTACCGCCTATTCGTAACTGTCAACGGCAATAAGACTCTCGAGGCGAACCGCGTTCCCGTCACCGCAGGCATCAATGGCGCGAGCCCAGGACCCGGCTATGAAGGTGGCAAGAAAAAGGGCGAACCATTGTTCGAGGCAAAACTGCTCGGTGGCGTGAATCGCATCGAAGTCGAGATTATTGCAGAAAAGGAGCGCAAAGACCAGCAGCCCACAGAAAACGGCGCCGCAGCAGCAAAGAAAGAAGACGTCGAAATTGAAAAGTGCACGCTTTTCCTGCATCTGCCGCGACAGTCGACGAACTAGTTGTCCGATGGCTGTGTGGACTTGATGGCCAGTGTATTGAAGAGGGAATTCAGCTCGCCCCCGATCTTATAATATAAAACAGCAACAAGAACAAGAACAACAGCAAGCAAACAAGCAAGCAAACAAGAATAACACGAGTCTGTATGTGTACGTGTGTGTATGCCTGTCTGTCTGTCTGACTGTCTTATGTGCGTACTACTACTACTACTCATTATGGGAGGAAAGGAGTATGTGTGGAAATTGGGGTGAAGGGGGGGAAATATTAGGTGATTATTTGGGTGTGGTCCTCTCCACCTCTCTCTCTCTCTCTCTCTTTCTCTCTCTGACAACGGTTAGCATTGGAAAGCATTGCTCAAAAAAAACTCCTCAAATACTCTTTTTCGAGTTTTGTTTTTCTTTTCCCTCCCTCCCTCTTGTCTACATGGGGGGGGGGGGAGGAGGAAATCAATATCTGCCTTCTTGTTCTTTTTTCTTTTTTTCTTCTTTTTTCTTTCTTTCTTTCTTCTCTACATATATCTTAATGTCATGGGTTCTTTGACGTATGGGCACCTTGGAGAATGGCAAGGGGACGGAGGGGACGGAGGCAAATTTGTATACCTTGGATTCTTTTTTTTTCCTCTTTTTTTTTGCGGAATCGTGTATGTATGGTATGGCGTGTGTATGTATGGCGTGTGTCTCGCGTGCGTGTATACATATGTATGTGCGTGGATGGATGGATGGATGGGAGAGGGGTGGCTACGTGGTGGTATAAACAGACTGGTGGTGGTGGCAGTGGTGGTGGGAAAATTAACTTGGTTGTGGGGATGGGATGGGATAGTGGTGGTGGGTGGATTACTTTAGCGCTATCTTTGTGTGTAAAGCGTATATGAAACGCGGGATGAATTGTTCTACTTTTTCTTTCAACATTTTTCTGATGATGATTATGGTGGTGATGATGGTGATGCGAATGTTATAGTTTTGTGGGGGTAAGTAGTGCGTGCGTGCGTGGTGGAATGTGTGCTTTGATTAACTTGAACGTGCTTGTTGGAATACATCCAAGTCTTGGATTCGTTTCTTTCTATTATTATTATTTTCAAAGAGGTAAGTAAGTAGTTATTTCGACGTGCTGATGCAGCGCAGTTCATAACGCAATAGTATATTTGAAAAAAAAATCCTCCTCTACTCTACTCTATCTACCACTACATCTAACTATTCTTTCACAATGTTGAGTTGCTGGAGCGATGGATCTTTGCTTTGTTCGTGGTGGTGTCGTCCAACTTTGTGATGGTAGTGGAGGCACGGGTAGAATATGGACTTATCCATGTACGTTGTGTGTATTCTACTTTTACTTCTAAGTATCCATCTTTGCATCTACCAAATCAAATCTGGGTGCGATTGTGCTGCGCATTGTTTTCTAGAGTATGCTAGACCGATTCATGTATGTCATTGTAAGAGGGTATTGTAGTCGTAGCAAAAGGGACGACTTCTTGGATCAACAGATGTGTAAGTAACGGGATTGCCTGTGATGTCACTTGTACTACTTACTTACTTTTTTTTCCCGATCTGTCTCGCTTCCGCGGTTCGGTACGCATCACTATGCATGTCTATGCAGCTGCGGGACCGGGACCGGGACCCCACGCCCTTTTCCCGTCATCTAAGAGGTATCTGTGGAGATGACGCAACGCCTACTGTAGAAGTAGCGTTGGCTTGGATGTGGAACTGCAAGGTGGACGCGGACGCGGACGCGGACGTGCCTTTTTTTCCCCCTCCTCTACTCTTGACAAAATATAATCAATCAAACCATGAACTCTTTTCATTGCAAGTGTCAGGCTTGCGAAATCCGCGTCTTGAAACTTTAAACTTTGGATTTCTCACCTTTTGTCACACCAGCCAACCCTGGGCTTACTGTACTCACTTATCGATAAATACAGTACTGTAAGTAAGTAAGCAAGTAAGGACTCAATTCATCCAACCAGAGAGAACCAAATCGACTTGATTTCCCAATTCATTTACTTAACACAACTTTCCTGTGATAATAATGCGGCTTGTACCTAAATACAGATACCAAGAAATGATGATCGCTGCCCATCCACATACGTTTCTCCCGGTGTAGCGACAAAAACCGTCTCTCAGACAAAGACAGTTTCACCACCAATTATACTGAGACGTTACGAGGATCGTAACAGGACGCTATAGGTCAGCCACATAAATCAGGTCATGTGATTACCAACTTTGTGACAGCGTAGCTCGAGCAATGTGGCAAGGTCGCAGTCTTATAGGTGGATATTAGGGTATGTTGTATTCGTCGTGGATAGAGTATTACTACACCTGCAAGCATCTCTCTCTCTCCTAGCAGTCTCTTGATATTCTTTTAACATACTAGAATGTTTAATACCGGCCTCAGAGTAGAACTGTAAAAAGCGTCGATAGTACCGTACCAGATTCCGAGGCAATATAGAATTGCGCGCAGTTTGGTCTCGTATTTTGCCTATCCGCTGCTTCTTCGGCTCCGAAGTGTACCCGTAACGCACCTATTTTGCCTCAGATCCTGGCGTTAGCCTGTGTATTTCACAGCTTGACTCCTCGTATTCTTGTGTTTGTTGCAAGGTATCCTAGGTTCTTCAGACCAACTGCTCATGATAGACGATACGCTTAAACCCCAGGCTGTAGAAATTCAATCTGTAAGGAATAATGCTTTAGTACGGAGGTGCCTTTCAAAAGTTCTATCTGACGCTAATCTCAGCCCTTTAGCGCAATTCTTCTTGGCGCAACTCCCACCTTTAAGCTAAGCTATTAATTAGTTATAGTTATCTATCTACTTAGTACTATAGCTCCTAATACTAATTCTTACACTTATGTTTTAATTATAACGTTAAAGTTACCTCCTATTAGCAAGTTAACGTTACAGATCTTAGAGCTAACTAGTGTTAATCCTCGTACAGTTAATCGTATCTATAGTAGAGCTATTGCTGCTAGCTTTAAGCCAAACGTTCTCCCTCTTAAGATCCTTCTATAGCACGTTTAAGATGCCCCTCGCTCTAGTAGGTCTACTAAGTAGACAAAAGAGGTAAAGGAGTAGATATTTTAATAAGTACGACGCGATAGATATAGACGAGAGAAGAGCTGCGCTAACCTTACTAGTGCGCTTAGTCTCTAAGGAGTCGAAATCTCTGCCTCTACTGTCTAGAGGGTATTAAGAGAAGCGGGATACAAGAAGACCAAGCTAATAAAGAAGCCTAGGTTAACACAAGAGATAAGGAGTGCTTGTCTTAGATAGGCGATCGACTACAAGGACTAGACGTTAGAGGACTAGAAGAATGTCATCTAGACAGACGAGACGTCTGTGGTGATTAACCACCGACGTGGGGGCTATAGGATCTAGAGAAAAGTAGACAAGAGAGTAGTTAAGAGCTATATCTATAAGAGGTGGAAGGGATACTCTAAGTTCATGTTCCAGGGCTGCTTCTCGTATAACAAGAAAGGTCTATGCCATATCTACTAGCTAGAGACGAAGGCAGAGAAAGAGGATGCTGCTTAGAAGATTGAGCAGCTAAACGCTAAGCTTGAACCTCTACAGAGAGAGGAGTGGGAGCTGTTAGAGTCTATAAGGAGGACAGGGTGTAACGGGCTAGGTAGCCCGCTACAGTACAGATAGCGGTGGCTATCTTATGTATCAACTACGCAACGATATCAGCAGCTCTGATATCTTGTGCCAGCCTTTTTGGCGCGGTGGGCGCGTTGTAGTTGCGTGCGCAGTCTAATAGGACTCGACCCGTTACACAGGGCTGCGCAACAAGCCTGGCAGAAAACCTCAATGGAGATAGACAGAGAATACAGGCAAGCTAGTGCGTAAGCCTAGAGGTGGTATAGACTAGTGGAGATATCAGAACTATATTCTAATACTAAAGCTAATTCCTTTCGCTAAAGAGTGCCTCCAAGATAGACCTTAGACTATTGTGATGGAAGATAAGGCACCTGCCCACGCCCACCACTATTAGAGTGTGATCTATAGTCTGCACGACGTCGAGAGACTACTCTAGTGTGGCAACTCGCTAGACTATAACTATATTAAGCTATGCTAGTTCTATATAAAGAGAGAGACTACAAAGAAAGGAGCTCTATAGTCAAAGGCTAAGGCAGTTAGAGTCTAGCAGAATTACTAGAGAGACCTTTCTTAACTTAAGATATAAGCTTAGATTAAGCGGATTCTTATTTATATTTAAAAGATAATTAAGCTACAACGTAGTAATAAGTATATAGAGGGAAGAGACAAGCCTTGACTAAGGCGGCCGTACTTCGGCTAAATTATTCTTAGCAAATAGAACTTTTGAAAGGCACCTCCGTACTGTCACCATTATAGTTTGGTGGATTAATATAGGCTTACATAAAAATTCATAGTCTGAAGGGGATTAGACAATGTGAGAAGTTGTAGGCAAGTTGATTACAGTACATGTCACGCGAGAACAGAGTAGAGGATATAGTCTTAGTATTCATGAAGCGAATCGTGGGTGCGCCATACTAGCGATTGGAGGGGCTTTTCTGCTCTTTAGAGGGCTACGCGGCCCGAAAGAGTTCGGAAGGACAAGGTGGTCCCTCACCGACAAATAAGTATGTCAGCATTAGGTATGGAAAGTATGACAACAGTAAGACAGCACTAACTCGATCTGCTTTGCCTCGGTATTTGAATATCTTCCTGCAATTCTCGATCGCACTAAAAAAAACCTAGTTTATAACCTCATCTCTGTAGAACTACGGAGGTGCCTTTCAAAAGTTCTGTTTGCCAAGAATAATTCAGCCGAAGTACGGCCGCCTTAGTCGAGGCTTGTCTCTTCCCTCTATATACTTATTACTACGTTGTAGCTTAATTATCTTTTAAATATAAATAAGAATCCGCTTAATCTAAGCTTAGATCTTAAGTTAAGAAAGGTCTCTCTAGTAATTCTGCTAGACTCTAACTGCCTTAGCCTTTGACTATAGAGCTCCTTTCTTCGTAGTCTTTCTCTTTATATAGAACTAGCACG